GGAGCAACTGGTTCTCTAGTTGCTGGTGGGAGTGTAAATTGGTACAACCACTTTGGAAAACTATTTGATGGTGTCTGATAAAAGTAATGAGGGTACTTCAGAAAGTTCATGGAAAAAATGGAATTAAAAGATAAAAATAAAAAATATGAACTTTTTTTCTCATATGCTCCATCAAATTCAAGACACTCTTGTAAGTGATGATACCAGCCATTTAGTCCATCCCTAAAGAACTGAGGGGCCTGGAAATTTAACCATGTCAGTGTAGTTCTTTTGGCAATATTAACCGAAGGAAAATGGGAGCCCTTTAAAGATTTTTTAAGATTAGAAAACAAAAAGAGGTCAGGAGGAGTCAAATCAGGACTGTAAGGTGGATGCCTATGATTTCCCATCAAAACTCACAAAGTTGCCCTTGTTTGATGAGAGGAATGAGCAGTGGGTATTGTCATGGTTGAGAAGGACTCTGCCAAAGCTTTCCTGGGCTTTTCTGCTAAAGCTTTGACTAACCTTCTCAAAACACTCATCATAATAGGCAGATATCATCATTCTTTGACCCTACAGAAAGTCAACAAACAAAATGTCTTGAGCATCCAAAAAACTATTGCCATGTCCTTTACTTTTGACCAGTCCACTTTTGCTTTGACTGGACACTTCCATCTCTTGGTAGCCATTGCTTTGATTGTGCTTTGTCTCTAGAATCATACTGGTAAAGCCATGTTACATCTCCTGTTAAAATTCTTCGAAGAAATGCTCTAGGATCTGGATCCCAATTGTTTAAAATTTCCATTGAAAACTCTGCTCATTTATGCAGCTGCACTGGGTGCAACAGTTTTGGCATCCATTGAGTGGAAAGTTTGCTCAATTTTAATTTTTCAGTCAGAATTGTTTAAACTGAGCCAATCGAGATGTCTATGGTGTTGGCTTTTGTTTTCTGCTATTAATCTTTGGTCCTCTTCAATTAGGGCATGAACAAGATTAATTTCTACCTCACAAGTTGATGTGGATGGTCTGCCACTGGGCTTCATCTTCAACATTGTCTTGTCCCTTCTTAAAACAAGTTGTCCCCTTGTACACTGCTGATTTCTTTGGGGCATTGTCCCCACAAACTTTTCGTAAAGCATCAGTGATTTCACTGTTCTTTCACTGAAGCTTCATAATCAATTTGAAGTTTGTTTTTGCTTGAATTTTTGCAGAATTCGTATTGTTCTGATAGGGGCTATTTTCAAATTGTTATCTTGTCCTTCTTGGTGCCTCAAACTAGAACCTGTTCAGACATGTTATAACAAGTTAGTCTGAGTTTATTTTGGTGCAATCCCTGCATAGTGCATAATATGCATTTTCCACGAACTTTTTGAAGACCCCACATATATTCATATTTTATGGCCCAGTAATTCCACTTCTAGATACATACTCAACAATAATGCATACATATGTTTTATGTATGCATTCAAATGCATTCAAACAATTCAAATGTCTATCAACAAAAGTATGGTTAAATAAATTATGGTATATTCACACACACACACAACACACACAGTGGCAGTAGGAATGATGATCTACAGCTGTGTGCATCAGTATCGATGACTCTCACTCCTATAATGATGAAAGAAGCCATAAACCAGTGAGATCACACTCTATATTTCCATTTATATAAAGTTCAAAATCAGGCAAAACAAATCAGGGAGGGATAGTGATTGGAAGGGGGGCATAAGTTAGTAAGTTTCTCTTAGTATAAACTCTTAATTACACAAGTGCATTCAACTTGTGAATTGATCAATCCGTGTATTCCATATTTATGTTCTTTTACGTATCCATGTCATGTTATCCAAAAAAAAAAAATATGATTTTGAGATCTATTCATGTTGGATCTTAGAGATCTAGTTTATTTATTTCAACTGTGGCATATGAACAGAGTACAGTTATTTATTGATTCTTACTGGACTTCTAGGTTTTTTCCAGTTTTCCTCTGTTTCAAATAATGCAGTTGTCAGTATTCTTTTGTATGACTTCTTGTGAGAATATCTGAGTTCCTCTAGGAGGTGGTGGCTGGGTTCTAGCTCATCTTCAGCTTTACCAGACAGTATGAAATTGTTATCCAAATGGTTGTATGTTTTTAGGTCATCAGGAGTGTTGGAGAGTTTCCCTTGCTCTGCATTCTTGTCAGAAATTGGTACTGTCAAACTTATAAAATTTTTGCTAATGGGTGTGAAAATTTGTATTACCTAATAACTAGTATATTTGAGCATCTTTCCACATGTTTATAAACCATATGGATTTCCTCTTGGGTATTCTTATCTTTTGTCCATTTTTCACTTTGGGGAATTATCTATTCATTTTTATTGCACGTTTTTGTAATGGTTAATTATATATCTTTCTTCATTTTTGTGCAATTTGCCTTGATTCTCAGCGCCTTATATTCAGGGAGGGTCTCCATCTTTTGTGATTTTTAAAATATTACTAAAATTTCAATTGTAAACTTTAGATTTGGAGTAATTCAATCCTCCTAAGAATATTTTCCCTTCAGGTTTTTTTTTATCTTTTTATTGTTTCTGTCTGCCTGCCATTAATCCTTTATATTTTACTAATACATTTCCGCTATGGGGATTTCTTTTCCCCACTCCATCCCCTTTGGTTTTGAGAGGTTGGTGGTGATATGGGGAGGGAGAAATAAGAAGAAGTATAAAAATGAGTACAAATTTGACAGAAGTTTATAAAATTGATGTAGGTATGTGTAAAATGCTTAAAAATATGGTTGTGACCCATTTTGTTTCTTCTTTTTACTTGAAATACTTTCTAGATTTAGCTTTGTACAGCCAAAGGCCATTGCATAGTGTCTGCGTTGCAGATGCACATCATTAACACGGTTAGTTGTATATGTGTGGTCCCTGCAGTGCCTCATCCCCTGGATTCTTGCGACAATTCCACATACTGCAGAGCAACTACATTAGCAGTTAAAATCTCCAGCCATTGCCACTATTGCTTTGATGTTTCTGTGATCTTAGAGAGAAAATGACCAAGCACTTGGTAGTTTTCTTTTCCAAATACAGAGGTAGTTGATTGGTTTGGGGTAGAAGGAAAAGATGTAAACAGTGCTTTCTCATTTACCTTCTGGCAGGGTGTGGTAATACCAAAAGGGCCTGGAGTTCCTGAGCTGTTTGCAAGTGTCAGAGCCCTTGAGGTTGGGGAACCTTCCTCAGAGAACATTCTGTCCCAGATTTGTTCAGCATTCCTTCCTTTGCTTTCTGCCTTAAGTAGGATCAGTGCCAGATGAAGAGCTCATGACTCCTGTCCATAGTACCAAAATCTTGGCTGATGTTGGTAAAGGAGTCTTGCAGCATATTCTCATGGCGTGAATCTTTTGGAGAGAGGTGACAGTATAGCACAGCTTCACTAGGAATTCTCTTCCTAGAATAGAATCGGACTTTTTTAAAAAATGATTTTGATGTAAGTCAATAAAGAATGACTTCAACCCTCAATTTATCAAGTTCAGGAATCTTCTCTGTGTGAGATTTAGAAAGGCTTTAAGCAAAAAAGGTCTTGCTTTATGAAGAAATTGGTATAACTCTGCCAATTAATTAAAAGTGATAGTTTTAAAGTATGTTCTGTATTTTTAAAAAAACACCTTAATGTTTATAGAAATAATAAGTTCTGGATTGATCCTGGACTTTAAAATTTTATAAGTGATAAGGATTTTTGTTTTTCTAAGCACCATAGCATTTCCACTGTTAAAATGATTAATAATTCCAGTAACATATTTCAGATTTTCCTGATTGTCTCAAAAATCTTTGCTTTTGTTTTTCTCTTTTATTCTATAACAGTTTCAGCCCTCCTTACTTCCCTCCCTTTGCTTTTTCATGCCATCAGTTTTTTGGAGAAACCAGGTTATTCATCCTGTAGAATGTCCCACATTCTGGATTTGACCGATTGCTCCTTTGTGGTAGTGGTGAACTTGATCCTATATCCCCAGTATTCCCTGTAAACTGGTAGTTAGAACTAAAAGCTTGATTCAATTCAGGTTCAACCTCACCTCACCTCTCACCTCACCTCTCCCCTTTCACCTCACCTCTCACACCTCACCTCACCTCACCTCACCTCACCTCACCTCACCTCACCTCACCTCACCTCACCTCACCTCACCTCACCTCACCTCTTCTCTTCTCTTCTCTTTCCCCTCTCTCCTCCCTTCCTGTTGCGAGCTTCTTATTGCATCACATCATGGGAAACATACTGTCTGGTTGTTCTCATTTAGTGATACTAAGATCAGTGTGTGGATTCTGTTGGTATACTGTGACTCTCTTGGTACAGAGGTCCTCATTAGAATCACTTTAAAACTTTTTAAGTTTAAGAATTTTAGAAGAGATTGTGACTTAGCAGTGCTAATGGGATGGAGAGAAACATCTGTTAAAACACACACACATGCACACCCACATACCACACACCACACCTTTAATACATTTAATGTGTAATTAGAGTGACAAAATTTACTTTTATGTAAATGCTTTGGGAATGTATGGCTTGTATAAAATGAAGCGTATATAAAATTGTTAAGAACTGTGGAGATGTTTGAGGCTGTTGTGGTATAATAGAAAAAGTACTGACTTGGACCCAGGAGGCCAAAATCATTCATCTCTTTGAGATCTATTTTATTTTATATCCAGAAAATAGGAATGATAACATATCTACCACAGGGTTGTTTTAATGATTAAGTGAAATTGATTTATTTGTAAGTAGTCTAGCACCCTGTGGTTAGTTGAGTCTAAATTTGAAATGCATTAGTATAATACAATTTTTTCAATTCAGCTCTTCAGAGTGAAGTTTAAGAAAATTAAAGTCATCATATCTTGTGCTATTTTAACTATATCTGAATAAGCTTTTATTTTTGAGCTTGCATTTGGAATGATAGATGATTCAGTGCAGTTTTAATATGTGTAATTAAAATGGCCTTTTCAAAAAAATAGTGTGTGGATTTCTTACTGATTTTTTTCCCCCCACCCTACTTTCAGCTCCATTTACCTCTTAATTCTCCTTTGCCTGGAAGTGAATTGACCAAGGAACCTTTTCGTTGGGATCAGAGACTCTTTGCATTAGTGTTGCGGTTGCCTGGCACCATGTCAGTAGAATCAGAACAGTTGACAGGTGTACCTTTAGATGACTCTGCAATCACACCAATGTGTGAAGTGACAGGCGGTAAGTTTTTTGCTGTTAGTAATTCAGTGAGTTAAAGCAGAGTTTATCTGAATGTTTTAAAATGTTCGTTTCAAAAACCCCATATCTGATTTTGTTTAACATGTTAATATTAGGAACTAATATATATGTTTTTAAAACTACATTTATTGATGATGGCATGTGATCTTGATTTAAATAGAATGTGGTTACTATTGGATCTGATTATGAATGGTAATTTTTCTACTCATATAGAAAATGTGGTATTTGAAGTTGTTAAACTAATGTTCTTATCTACAAAGATTGTCAGTGATTTAGAAGTGTCATAGAATTATTTCCTGTGAAAAGTGTTTTGAAAATCATTTTATTTTTCATTTGATGGGATATGCTTGGTTAAGTGCAGTTTTTCCCAGAGGCAAAGAGGTAGATTTGTTAAAGGAAACAGGTAGTGAGGTCTTATCCATCTCAAGTTTCAATTATACATCAGATCGGACAGTCACTATGCTGTATGAAGATTAATGAAAATCTTGAAATAGACTCAGAACTCTATAATGTGGAATTGGTTAACAGGTAGATTAATTTCATATAGATATGTACTGAGTGCCTACTGTATACCAAGTACTGTTCCATGCTTTAGAGTTTCAGTAGTAAGTAAGACAGATAATGAGATTTTTTTCTTTCATGGAGCATTTTAGTTCTCACCTAAGGAATTTGATATTAAAATGTCCAAGTCTGGCATACCATTATTTCACCTGTGATAGAGGCCTGTGATATAGTCTCCAGACACAGTCAGTGCTCTAACATTCCATAATAGCCAGCTATATAAGTTAAGAGAAAATACACATTGTAGTATATTTTAAGTGTCTTTCTTCTAAAATTCTGTGGGTTTTGGAAGTCTACAAAATTCACAGACAAAAAGGCATTAACTTTATGTAGGTATGTGAAGTAGATAAGTTAAGAAATTGTTATTCACATTATTAAATACCCCCATTTAATAGAAATACCTTTATGCACTCTTGTTTGAAATGCCTTCACAATTTAATTTACAAAAATAAAAAGGCATATACATGATTTTTTTAGGGACAACCTGTCAGACATTTAATATTGAAAATTCACTGCCAACAATTCCCTGTACATGAATAATATTTTACAGTGACAGTTCTTTTTTGTGGGAGGATGCACATTTGTGTTATGAAATTTTAGTTTTCAGCTTTAATCCACTTGATAAAATCCTGATTTTTTTCCCTCTAATTCTAGAGTTTTTACTTAATAGATTGTAAAGGACTTTGAGGCTGTGATTTAAACATTCTCACATTGAAATGTCCTTACTATGAATTACTTAGTTTGAATTTAGAATTATTATGTACTATAACTTTTGTCTTCTAGGATCAGGAGTATTCACAGTATGAAATGAACTGAGTGGTATAACCAGAGGGTCTGAAAAGAACTTTGAGACATCATGTAGTAGTTAATATCCTTGCCTTTGGGCAGTAATGTACTAAAGTTATTTTGTATTTTGTTTATTCCTTGAAAGGAACATCTCCAGAGGAGAAGATTCTGAAGCCACCCTTGGTAATATCTTGCAATGACCCAGAAATCTTAGTCAGTCGAGAAGTTAGGAAGTTTTCCCTAAATATACATCCTGATGTAATAGTTTATTTGCCCCTTAACATACTCTTGCAAGTAATAATGGGAAGCCGCTCAAATGCCATTCACCTTTTCATATATCTGTATAATGTGTTTTCTTTCTTTTTTAATTTAAAAGAAAGAATGTTCATAAAGAAAGTCTTGGGGATAAAACACTAAAAGAGTAAAAAGAAGAAAAAAGCTGAGAGCTACTGGCATTATACTATTCAAATATGTAAATACAACTAACAATTCCTGAATGTTTTTTAAACTTAATGTTAAGAAGCATATATGTGTGTGCGCGCGTGCATGCGCATGTACATTTATTTTTCCCATTATAGAATAGTTCATGTTCACTAAGGAAAAATTGGAAAGAAATTAGCCTTTTTCTTATTTTTTTGTATGTGTGCTTCTTAAAAAATTGCATAATTGTGCCCACTCTATGCCAAATAACTGTTGTAGGTGCTGGGAATACAGCAGGAGTGATAGAGAGAAGGCTTACTTCTTGGGACTGGGTGAAAGATAGTAATCATGCAAAATTAGTAAATATTTTAGGGAGTGCTACCAACTTTGAAGAAAAAAGAATTAGGGTAAGGGAGTAGTGAGTAACTTGAGGCAGAGAATGAGTATTCCAGGTAAGTTTTCTCCTGCGGCAGTACTGTTTGAGCAGAGACCTAATTGATGGAGTTAATTGCATGAAGTTCTAGGCAGAAGAAATGGTAAGAGAAGGGTCATGCTCTATATATTTGAGAGCAACAGGAAGTCTGATGTGGCCGGAGCTTACATAGGAGGAGTAGAGAGTAACAGCTAGATTTAGAGAGGAAGGCCAAATATTGAATAGCCTTTTAGGCCGTAGTAAATATTTCTTATTTTCCAAGTGTGATCAGAAGCCATTGGAGGACTTTTTATAGGGGGTAACATCTGGTTTCTATTTCTGAAAGATCATTTCAGCTGTTAGATGAGAATATACTGTAGGGTGGCAAGAATGGAAGCAGGGAGACTAGTAAGAGATGATAGCATTTTGGACTAGAGTGCTGGGTTTGAAGGTTTTGAGAAGTGGTCTGATGCAAAGGAGAACCAAGGGCTAGGGCAATGAGAGGAGAAGTGGTCAAGGATTATTCCCAGATGATTCAGTTGGCCTGAACCACTCGAGATGAATGGCTATGCTGTGAACTGAGATGGTACTCTGGGGAGAAGCAGGTTTGAGGGAAGTGCAGGTATGGTAGCAGATTAAAAAATATCTAATAGACATATTGGTGAAAATATCAAGGATAAAAAAAGCATTTTATAAAAATTATTTAGAGACTTTTTTAGGTTAAATAAATTTAACCTTCTTAGCTTCTAAGACTATTAAGCCTCCAAGGGCTGTTGTCCAGCATAGAAATATTCTTTTCCCTCTTCTCTATTTTACTAAGATGCTAATACTCTTTCAGGCTACTCTATATGTAGTTTGATTTTTTTGTGGACTCTACATAACCAAAAGTGAGCCAGCTTCTTGACTTGAAGGTGTGTGCTGATAGACTTTTCTAATAAGTATAATTCGTGATGTAAGTGTTACATATTCCAAGGGGTGAGTTTTGACATAGACGATAAGCATAAAAGGAACATTACATAGGAGATAGGTTCACTTTGTAAAGATAGCAAAATTTGCTATTTCTCTTTAACTTTCAAAATGAATGAGTGGATTTTTATTATTGGCCAAATGACTCATGTTTATGCACTTTTCCTCTAATTTTCATAAAACATCTTTGTTAGTAATTTTATTTCATAATAAGATCATAACTGATTTGCTTGTATTTTCCTAATTAATTGAATGATAACACAACTTGGGAGGGTGGAGAGAATTGCCACAGTTATATACTTAAATTTTTTGTTTTTTAATGACACCTTGGGAAGATGCTTAAATTTCATGAGATAAAACATTGCGTTTTTACGTAATCTAAAGTACTTTGCATGTGAAGATGGTGAGCCTTTTAATGTATTGCTTTATGTATATGCTTAAATTGACCTAGAAAAAAATTTAAATTAACCAATTCTTTCAAGTAAGTGTTACTCCATACACTATGTTTTAAATATTAATTTTAAATTAACACATGAGTTCCAGGGTACAAAGTATACCTAGAATAAATAAAGTTTCTGATACCCTGTAAGGGTTTGAATCTTGGCTGTACAAATGTACTAACTTGGATAAGTTAGTTAATCTCTCTGTGCTTAGTTTTCTTGTTTGTAAAATGGGAAAAATAACCCATATGATTGTTGCTAGGATAAAATAAATTAATATGATAAAATGATTAGAACAGTGCCAGGCACATCTTAAATACTCAGTAATTGGGTATTTTTATGATTATGATCATCATCATAGTGTACAGGTAAGTTGTCTGTTATATGATGCTTGTTTTTCTAAGTAAAGCATTAAGTAAAAGTTGATATGAGTAATATGATATGTCAAATATAATGACGTAGCTTGTGTTCTGAAATGATTGGTTGAATTCATAAAAGAGTAGGACTTCACACTGAGCTTATTACGAATAACATTGCAGGATGTTTGGTTGAAGACTGAGTTTTAGCTGTCAAAGTTTTCAGTGTTAGTCTGGATCACCCCTGTGCAATAGAAATATGATACAAGTTCCATATGTAATTATAAATTTCATAGTAACCATGTTAAAAATAAAAGAAGTAGGTGAAATCAGTTTTAATATATTTTATTTAAATCATTATATCCAAAATATTACTCCAACACAAAATTGGTATTTAAAAATAACTAATGAGATATTTTACATTTTTTTATGCTAAGTCTACAAAATCAGGTGTATATTTTATACTTACTGTACATCTCAATTCAGACTAGCTATATTTCAAGTTCTTAGCAGCCATATATGGCTAGTGTCTATAGAATTGGACAGCAAAGATCTGGATATATTTGTTGAAAATCCCTGTTTTAAAGACTTTTCACTTGTTTTTTTTTTTTTTTTTTTTAATCACTGGCATTTTTATGCTTCTGATCTAATTATTGTAGATTAAAATATACAAAAGGGGAATTCATTTCAGATAGGTAATTCCCAAATATATAAGCCAAATGCAATTCAGAAAAGCACGCTACCATATATATTAAAATACAAATGTTTAAAATATGCAATAACTGCCTGCAGCAGACCAGTTAATAAATTAAGCATCTGCCATGTGCTTAGCATAAATCTCAGTTATGTAAGATTTGGGGGTGATAGCTACTAGATGTTGTGTGTGTTAAACCAATTATATTGGATAACAGTTGGAGATGATGATATATATATATATAAAACTGTATAAAATATGTGATTTTCTTCCCATTGTGGTTTGTTCAGACCATGATTTCTATGTTCCATATGCCTATAATTAGAAGAAAACATTTACATACTCTCAGAAACGGGATTGTTGGTTGGTTGAAAGTAACTATTTTTGTTCATTCTTGCATAAGATAATGAAATAAATCAGCTTTTACCATTGAAATTTTGTTAATTAGTACTGTCAGAAACCCCACTGTGGTTCCTTCTTGCAAACAGTAGGAATTGTTGCCACTAACTAGTTTACTTTCTTCTTTTTTATCTCAGGCCGCTCATATTCTGTATGTTCTCCAAGAATGCTTAATCAATGTCTGGAGTCCTTGGTGCAGAAAGTGCAAAGTGGAGTGGTAATAAACTTTGAAAAAGCAGGACCAGATCCTTCCCCTGTAGAAGGTATTATTGCACTTTTCTGATAGATATTCTAAACTTACTTTATCAATTATTGAACTAGAACTGAAAAATTATTACAGTTTGGCTTTAAGATTGACAAGGCCAAATTATTAAGATGACCAACCTGTTACTGGTAAAGAGGGAAGATCAAATAGGAAAGTCAGGGTAAACTGATGATAGTTCAGTAGCATTACTTTTTTATATTAATGATTGTTCATAGCCTGAAATTCTAATAAGAGCCAAAAACCTTTTCAAGCATTTATGGATAAGTAACCCATACTTCCTTTTTCATATTGTACAATTGCCTTTTTCTGGTATATATGCTTCTCCCATGTCCTTTAATTTCCAGAGTGTTCAACCCTAGGTAAATAATTTATTTAATTCCTTAGCTACTGTTGTTCCAAGGATCAAACTAATGAGAACCAAATGGTTTGTGTGAGTCCAAAAATGAGGAACCAGCTTTTGCCATTAAGTTTGATTCTTTTAATTCTAGCTAAGCCACACCTGGCTTTATTTTTGGCTTTCATGATCATGAAATATTTTCTTTCTTTTTTTTTTTTTTTGTCTTTTTCCGTGTCCGGCAATGGATCGCAACCCTCAGTGTCGCCCCCGCACCGGGCCGGGACCGGCAACGGGACCGCAACCCTCGGTGTTGCTCCTGCGCCTCGCTCAGCCAGTGAGCGGGAACCGGTCTGTATGTGGGATCCGAACCCTCGGGCGGGAGCGCCGCCGCGCTTCCCAAGCGGCGCACTATCCAGTGCGCCACCGGGCCAGCCCAGATCATGAAATATTTTCAATAGCCAGTGGATATAAGGAGTTATACTAGAACCAATGGACAGTTTACAGCCAGGACTCTCTATGTTGTTCATAACTTATTTCTGTATTTAGAAAGTTGTTAGTGACAGCTGGCAGAGAGCTCCACTAGAGTGGGTAATTGGGAGAAGAGAAAGTTTATAGAGATGAAAGAATGGGTACACTCTGAGGGTATTATAGGGAAGGAGCAGAAGATGATAAAACTCATTTGTGTCTCCTTTAAAAAACCAAACTTAAAAAAAATTTTTTTTTAATTGTTAGACATGGAATGTATTTATCTTAAAATTATTTTAATGCTTGGCTTAGAGTTAGGCACTAAGTAAATGTTCGCTTAATTGTTGAAGAGAATTGTTATTTGTTTAGAATTATTTTAGATTAGAGGTAGTTTCTTTGAATCTAGATTTGCATATTAAGGTTTTTTTCATTATTAGGCTTTAGTTAAAATGATTTCTAAGAAATACTCAATTAGCAATACTTACATCGTGGCACTGTTTTTGACATTGGTGATATGACAACGAAGAAGATTATTTGGATGCTTGCTCTTATCTTCTGGGGAGGAAAATACATTATTCATTAAATCGATAATCACCATAAAATACATTTTACATGTTCTGATTGGGCAAGCAAAGGATACTGTGGGACCGCCTTCAGCTGGTGAACTTATAGTTGGAATTTACAGACTTTACTGTCTAGTAATTGCAATGTAGTCTAAATGTTAAGTAGTCATAGTATTCTGCTATTTAAGAAAAATAGGAAAATCCAGAAATGAACAAGTATTATGACATTTTTATTAAGTATATAATTTAACTTTTTTTGTTTTTACCCCTAATGATATATGCTTTCTTTGCCTTAATTTCTTTGCTATAGATGGACAGCCAGATATATCAAGGCCTTTTGGATCTCAGCCTTGGCATAGCTGTCACAAACTTATATATGTCAGACCAAATCCTAAAACTGGGGTTCCTATAGGTCATTGGCCTGTTCCAGAATCTTTTTGGCCAGATCAGAATTCTCCAACACTAGTAAGTACCAGAGAGACTGTGACTATGTAATAGTAACCATTTAGCTGCCTTTTATATAAATGTGTGGCTAATTTACAGAATTAGACAGATGTTCAAAGTGCTATGATAAGCTATTATTTGCTTTAGTATACTGTATTGTTCATTATGAAGTAATGGAATAAAGACATCTTTTGTTCCCTTTAGGATCTAATACTGTGCTTACTTTTTTATTATTGGCATCTGGGTACAGAATCATAAATGTAGAGAGATTTCCTCTTTTGGAATCTAAACATAATGTAGCATGAGACACAATTTAGAATTTAAATGAAGGCTTAGGAAATAATTCTGGTAGTTTGCCTGCAATCTTTTAGGACTTAATCTTAGAAATTTATGTTGACTTTCATGTTTTTAGTTATATTCAGTGTTGCAGTCTAGAGGTTTAAACTAGAAAAGATTTTCTGGTCTTGTTTACATGAATTGTTTTTAGGAACAGTGAGTTTTGTTGAATGATCTTGTTTAATTATCAGTATTCATTATAAGGTTCTTAAAATAATAAGGTAAATTTATACAAATTACAATCTATTTGGTTTTGTTAGTGCACTGTTTTTTCAGATTAGTTTTTTTTTCCCCCTAGTATCTGAGGAAATCAGGGGATATTTTGTAGGAGAGCATGACAGTGGTTCTCTTTGATATTACCCTTAGAAGATAAGAATTGTATTTCAAAGATCACTAAGCAGTCCTTAATAATGTTTCATGAAATTATCATATATGAATTAAACTGAAACCTTTTTGAAACCTATTGTACTTTGACCTGTATCAGCTGTTCAGGATAATTTTACTTTGAGACTGTACATGGTCTGTAAAGTGATATTTCCTTTATTCATTACAGATTTAACAAAGTAGTACATGAAATTAAGTTTTCATAAATTTCAGGGAGGTGTCTTCATTATTCCTTTTTTTCCCTTTCTTTCTTATTTTATTGAACCATCTAGATTTTCAGTCTGGTCTTACAGAGAAGCTTTTGGTTTCTTGGATCATTTTACTTTCTCTTGTGGAGCCCTTTTACTCTTATAGAACGGATACCACATTTGTATGAAATATTGTCTTGTTGGTTATTCATTCTATTATATTTATTTAATACCTACAGCAGTATGTATGGTACTTGTAAAATCCTAGTGGAAAGAAATCCGAAACCAATACCACAAGCTTTATTAATATTGCGGTAGTGCTATACTGCACATTGTTACAAGCCATAGAGGGTGGGTAAGATTTCAATTGAAGGAGGAAATAGTATGAGAAAAAAGAATGGAAGTATAAAAGAGCAAGATGTATTTAGAGGAGTGACAAAGTAGCTGGGTATGGGTGGGTCATAACGTATATGTAGAACATTGAGAGTACTATTAAATAAACCAAACTGCTCAACTTTAAATGCAAGGTTAAAAGAATGTGAAGTTTTTTTTCAGTAGGGTTCAGAGAACAGTTGAAGATGTTTTTAACAGAGTGCTCCTTTAGGAAAATTAATTTGGTGGTTGTTACATGCAGCAAAATTAGAAGATGAGTTGGAAGGCAGGTAGGTTACCTAGGGCTATTGATATGGTTCATGTAAGAGATAGTAAGAGCTTGAATTAAGATGATGGATGAGGGAATCATATGAAAGAGAGAACGTTGGAAAAAACTGGCAAGATTTAGTAACTGAAGGATATTAGAGTGGAAATTAACTTTTTGTAAATTATAATAGTATTTCAAACAAGAAGTATTGGCACTGAAATGAAACATGATTTATTAGAGACTGGTTCTGAATTTGAGTCATTGCTCTACCAGTTATTAGTTGTGTGTCTTTGGTTAATTATCTTCTCTAAGCCCCAATTTCCCATCTGTTGAATGGAGATAATAGCTCCTATTTCATAAGATTGCTTTGGGGATTAAATGAAATAATATATGCAAAATTTTCTTGGCCAAGTTCTAGATGATCTTTTCCTCTTGGATTTTAATATTTTCATCCAAAAACTAAGTGCATTTCATGGACTGATTGAATAAAGCTGTGTCTCAGGTGCACGTTAGCACAAGAGCACAGGAGAAGTAAAATATAGTGCTTATTTTCTTGAGCCTTACTATTCCATAGGCAGGTCAGACACTCACACATTGTAGAGTACAGGAGGCTGACTGTAATAGAGGGATGAAGCAGAGCCAGAGGAGGTGGGCTCTGGTGTGTATTTGGGATACAGATTGGGAAGGGGTGTCTGGGAAGAAGTCTCTTAAAGGTTGGTTCTTGCCAACTCTTTCTTCAAAATTTTTTTTGCAGTGTGCTAGGAAGAAATTAATAAATAAAGTCAGGGTTGACATGTGAAACACAGGGACATGAAAAATGATGACCTACTTGGGCAACTGCAAGTAGTTGGCATGGCTGGAGCATAGGGTCTGTATGGCATGGTGGTGGAAAGGAGTTAGGGACCAGATCGTCAAGGATCTTTGTATGTGATATTAAGAGTCTGGACCCTATTTTATGTGATTTTCTGGTACTTTTACTAAGTAATTTTAGACAGGGATATTACATGGTCATATTTATGTTTCATGGCTATAGGATTGATTGGAGGGGGTTGGCTTAGTTAGGGAGACTAATTATAAAGCAGTTGTACTAGTCTACTCTGAGAAATGATGAAGGCCTGAATTAAAGTGATAAGAAGTAGAAGATACATTTCTAGAGAGAGAAGAATTTAGTATCGATGGAAGGTAACAACTAGTACTGAGCGCCTGTCATGTTTATGTATTCTGGTAAGTGCCTTAGAATTTGCAGTATTATTTTATCTAGGTCTTTGTGATAGTTAAATATGGAGGATGAGAGGGAGATATCAAGGATAACACTTAGGTTTTTAGAACAGGTTTTGTGGTTTGGAGGGGAATTAATGAATTGGACATAATGTGCCTGAGCAATCTGTAGAAGCCTCAGGTTATGTCCCATAGGCAGTTGGATACATAAGAGAAAGGAGAGATCTGGTCTCAACACAATAAATTTGCGAGCCACTGGTAAGTAGGTAGTACCTGAGGCCAACAGAGTCCTTTATAGCAATGAAATTTCAAATTATTTCCTAATAGCTAATGTTTTCTTCACAATTGATAAGATTTTTAGGAAGGGGACTACTAAGAGGTATAAATAGGGGAGTAAGACACTTTAAAAAAAAAGTATTGTTTTTTTTTTTTATACCTCTAGAATAAGGATCTCCAAAGTAGGGTGTGTATACCGTATACCACCAGGATAACCAAAACAATGTGCTGTAATAAGGAGACATTAGAAATTCTATTTTTGTTTATTTTTTTCTATTTTAATATCATTTTGGCATACATTTTATTATGTACATCTACACTAATAATTTATAAATGAATCTATATATGTCTTAATATTGTATATTCAAAAACTGATTAAAGTGTGTCATTAGTTTGGAAGCCACTACTCTATACAAGTAAAGTGCTACAAAGGAGGACTTATGGAGGTTTCTAGACATTTCTTATTTCTTGGGTGTGAAATTAATGAATACTTACTTAATTGTAAAATGTTGCATTTAACTTTTGAGGAATTTGATTTTAAGACATAAAAAGATTTTCATTTTGTGTAGATTTTGAAGCATTTTTCTTTTTCTTGTGGATGTTATATAAATTGAACATTACATTTTTAAGTGTTTTCTTTCAGATTAGTGGTGTTTTTAGCAGTAAGTCAAACTCTCACTAGCAAAACTGAGGAACTGAATAAATTTTGATAGGGAGGGATACTTAACATGAGTTTGTTCTGGTATTTTGTGTAAATGGTAATAACAAGACTTTCTCCTCTAGCCACCTCGTACATCTCATCCTGTAGTGAAGTTTTCCTGTACAGACTGTGAACCAATGGTTATTGACAAACTGCCTTTTGACAAATATGAGTTGGAACCTTCACCACTGACTCAATTTATCCTAGAAAGGAAATCTCCTCAAACATGTTGGCAGGTGAGCTGAACAACTAGAATGATTAAAAAATTTAGATGAGGTATTTCTTAAAAAGTTTAAATTGAATCAATGGTTTATATAACATTCTTTAAAGGTTATTAAATATGAAGTTTTAACTACTCTTTAACAGGTATATGTGAGCAATAGTGCAAAGTATAGTGAACTTGGTCATCCTTTTGGTTACTTGAAAGCCAGTACAGCACTGAACTGTGTCAATTTATTTGTGATGCCTTATAATTATCCAGTCCTTCTTCCTCTCTTAGGTAAGTGTCATTCTTGTCACATTCTCTGTGGCTCAGCATATGTAAAAATTCTCCTGAAGACAAACTTTGGGAACATTTCTTTGCAATTTATCTTGTCTTCTGAAAATTAATGAAAATGTTCTTAATATTGTAAAATATTAAACCTATTTAAGGAAATTTTTATAGCAAACTGTTTATATTTGTGGTAAATTTAAAGTCAGTATTGAAACACCTTTATTCTACAAACTAATAAAGGTATTATATTTCCCATTTTTAAATTAAATACTATAATTTTTTTGCAAGTTAGATTTCTTACATCATTAGAATTGGTAATGTAGGCTTTCTGTTTGGTACATAATACATTTTGTAGAAGCATTACTCACAAGATCTGAGTGTATTTTCTTTCTAAGAATTTATAATTTTCGTTTTTAATGAAAATTTTTTTAATAAAGGAATTTGTTCCGAAATAATATGATAAAAACCTAGAGTTAGTTACTAGGCACCATCTGGCTGTAATTTTTTGAGGAGTACTGTTGGAGAAAACTTCTTTCCCTTTATGAAGTCACATCATATTTAAAAGTTATATAGTCAAAATATTAGTAGGTATATTTTATAGAAAATGTCATGCATACTTTGTCCTCAAATCTGTTTTGTGTCTAGGTCTAGATAGGGCATAGATTTTTCTTGTGTATTTTCTGATTCTACCTTCATTATTACGTGTAATTTTAGACCATAATTGGTACCTTTTCATTTTTAAAATAGTAATACAAATAGAAAACACTAGAACCATAAATTTTACTGCTTTTAATTTTGTTGAAAACTTATGTCTGATGTTATTCTCTCACAAAAAGTAACACAGCAGACTTTTAAAAGGAAACCTCTTTGACTTGGTTTTTATGTGTGGAAACAATGAGTGACTCTAGTTTGTTCACATGATACATTTCTAGATGACTTGTTTAAAGTGCATAAAGCAAAACCAACATTGAAATGGAGACAGTCGTTTGAAAGTTATTTGAAGACAATGCCTCCCTATTATCTTGGGGTAAGAATATTATTTTAAAAATAAAACTTGATGTAAAATTTTGTGTTATGCTTATAGTTTATTGTAGGTATATTGTATATTGTATATTGTAGGTATATTGTAGCTTTTATTTACTGCTGTTATAGTTTAAATGGCATGAAAATTGAGTGTACAAATGACTAATATAGATGTAATGATATAGGTTTCAGTGATTTGCAGAATAGTAAAGATAATCATGATCGTGAGACATTTATATAATGCTTACCCTAGGCCAGGTACTGTCCTAAGCAGTTTACATGTGTTAACATCACTTAATTCATACAGTCGCCCTATGAGGTAGAAAAGATTATTGTTCTTATATCATAGGCGAGGAAACTAAGACACTGTAATATTAAGTAATTTGTCCAAGGCTACATAGCTAATAAATGGGCGATGAGGGAGACTGGAATTCAGTCTGGCTTTAGAATTTAGGCTTTTAACCTTGATTGTCGTACTACCTTTTAAAATTGCAGTTTCATGATTCTCTTTATGGGTACAAAATTAGTTTTGTTGCATTATTTCCTAGATCCCCAGAAACAACTTTTTAGGGGGCTAAGCATATATTCTCATAGAACCATGACTTTAAAAAAAACTGATTAAGTTGAAAACTAGTGTATCGTAGTAGGTGAGATCAATGTTTTATTAAATACATTATTTAGTTTGCAAAAAATAACTTAATAAGAAGACCTACACCAAAACCACTTTTAAACATTATTTGTGCTTTTGAGGCAGGAATATAACAGCATTTAGCTGTAACTAGTCTTTCTAAATAGTCCCTAATATAATTGTGAGATTAATTTCTTGAGCTTTGAAAATCAAAACATTTTATAGTTGTAAGAAATAAGCTGTATGGTGGCTGCCCTGTTAGCTTGGTTGGTTAGAGCATAGTGCTGATAACACCAAGTTCTAGGGCTTGATCCCTGTACTGGCCAGCCACCAAAAAAAAAAAGAAAAAAAACCCAAACAAAAAACAAAGAGGTAAGTTATGTTGAATGTCTAGCACATAGAGCCTGCCACATAAAAGGCTGAAAAGGAAGAAAACATTTTGAATAGGAACTTTACATATGTTGACTCATTTATACTTCATAGCAACCCTGAGGACTTAGCCAAAGTTACATAGGTATTAAATATCAGAGCTGGGATTTGATTCCAGTTTGACACTTAGTGCTTGTACACTTTCTAATATGTCAACGGTTATCATCCTTTTCCTGGCTCTGTCCCAATCATATACACTAGACATTCCTGCTGGTGATATATTTTCCACAAGGTGGTTCTTGATTAAGTTTTTTCTTTCACTATACCACATCTGTAGCAAATATTAGACTGTTTTTTCCTCCTGCTTATTTTTTCTTCAGAGCTTTTTTGTTTTTTAGCTCAGCTAATGATAATAGTAATGCTTAACACTTATTGAATGCTTACTGTGTTTTATAAGTGCTTTACATGTATTTAATCCCATGACAACCTTCTAAGGGTAGGCACTATTATTATCTTCATTTTACAAATGAGAAACTAAGGCACAGAGAGGTTATGTAACCTGGTTCAGGGTCACATAGCTAGTGAGTGGTTGAGCCACAATCTAGCCAGCTATTCAAGGTGGAAATTTTGTATTTTCACCAACTACCCTAGTTTTAACAGATCTGCTTCTACAATGTGTCTCCTGTCCATTTCTTCCAAACTTAGTATCTCTCAATGATATTAAGGAGTCCAGCATTCACCCTTCTTGCCCTGGGTATTATTGTTATGGTCTCTAATCCCTTTTAACTATTTCAAACTACCTTTCACACCACTGACAGACATTTTACTGAAATACAGATATATTACTTTCTTATTGAGGAAAAGGAGAAATTTTTTGGAAAAAATTTTGAAACAAACTCTATACCTGGAGCATAAATTACTAACAAGCTTGATATGAATATTTTCTTTTTTCCTACAGCCGTTGAAGAAAGCTGTTAGAATGATGGGAGCGCCTAACCTAATAGCAGACAGCATGGAATATGGACTGAGTTATAGTGTCATTTCATACCTCAAAAAATTGAGTCAACAGGTAATGTTAAGAAAACGAGTGAGGGCCAGCCCTGTGGCTCACTCGGGAGAGTGCGGTGCTGGTAGCGCTGAGGCCGTGGGTTTGGATCCTATATAGGGATGGCCAGTACGCTCACTGGCTGAGCGTAGTGCAGACCACACCATGCCGAGGGTTGTGATCCCCTTACCAGTCCAAAAAAAAAAAAAAAGAAAACAAGTGAGCCATTAAATATTTTGAATGGTTTTGGCCAAAATGGTAAACAGGCTAGAAGCTAGCCTGGGTAATTCTATTGAAATCCCATTTATATTAATATATTACATTTTAAAGCCATATATATCATATATTAACACGATTCCATCTCAAGTCCACAGTGTTCTATGTTTTGATATGTTAATTTTAAAGTTTTATATCCTAGACTTCCTGTATGTGAACATTTTTAATGCTTTCTTTTGAGAAATTTGTATTAGAAAGTTGTTTTTCCTAGAAAAAAATTATTAGTTTCTTTTCCTGTATGTTATAAAACCTACAGATTTTTCTTTCAGAACAGAAGTTTCTGGGGCCGGCCCAGTGGCGCACTGGATAAGTGCGCCGCTTGGGAAGCGCGGCGGCGCTTCCACCCGAGGGTTTGGATCCCACATACAGACCGGTTCCAGCTCACTGGCTGAGCGAGGGGCGGGAGCAACACCGAGGGTTGCAATCCTGTTGCCGGTCCCCGGTCTGGTACGGGGGCAACACTGAGGGTTGCGATCCGTTGCCGGACACGGAAAAAGACAAAAGACAAAAAAAAAAAAAAAAGAACAGAAGTTTCTTTTGAAGTGTTTGTAAAAACACTGAATTTTGTCATTCTGGCCATAAGTCCCATTAATAGATACTATGGTGGTCAAGCAGTATACAGTTTAACTGAATGACAAATTATTGATGTCCTGTGAAACACATTATGTTTCCAGTACTTCTGCCATTTCTGCCTTAATTGCTAATTGAAATGCAGTTTGGGGGCCGGCCCGGTGGCGCACTGGAGAGTGCGCCGCTTGGGAGTGTGGCGGCGCTCCCATCAAGGGTTCAGATCCCATGTGGAGACCGGTTCCCGCTCACTGGCTGAGCGTGGTGCGGGCGCAACACCGAGGGTTGCGATCCCGTTGCCGGTCCCCGGTACGGGCGCGACACCAAGGGTTGCGATCCTGTTACCGGTCAGTCAAAAAGACAAAAAGGAAGGAAAAAAAAAAAGAAATGCAGTTTGGGAGGAGTCAATGCTCTTTACTTTCTAGTGAACAACTGCATCACTATTTGCCATATCTATGAACATTTAGTTATGTGATAATAACAATGTATTTGAGTAAATATTGATGAGATTGGTTTTTTTTTTCTATTTTCTGTCACCTCTGAATTGGGAATATACATTTTCATTTAGGGTGCTTTCACATTTCATGGTATAAGTGTTGTGGGTATTAATAAAAAAAATAACAAATAGAAGTGTTTGTTTGTCCTGCTCTAAAAGTTTAGTTGTAGGGGCCGGCCTGGTGGCGTACTGCTATAGTGCGCCGCTTGGGAAGCGTGGTGGCGCTCCCGCCGAGGGTTCGGATCCCACATACAGACCGGCCGCTCACTGGCTGAGCGAGGGGCTAGAGCAACACCGAGGGTTGCGATCCCGTGGCCGGTCCCGGTCCGGTACGGGCGCGACACTGAGGGTTGCGATCCGTTGCCGGTCACGAAAAAAAGACAAAAAGGAAAAAAAAATAAATAAAAATAAAAGTTTAGTTGTAATAATTTAAAATCATAAGACATTATTGTTTAAACTACATTTAGTTTACCTAGTACTTGACATAAACTATGCTACTTTAGTTTTTAATTTCTTATATAGCTTAAGACAATATAATAAATAATTTCTAGAAGGTCATAACTATTAGTATGTGATTTATCAATTTAGATTATACCAACGTAATTCTTATTTATTTTTATTTTAGGCCAAAATAGAATCTGATCGAGTCATCGGATCCGTAGGCAAAAAAGTAGTACAGGAGACCGGAATTAAAGTCCGAAGCCGATCACATGGTTTATCAATGGCATATAGGAAAGATTTTCAACAACTGCTCCAGGGAATTTCAGAGGATGTCCCTCACAGACTTCTAGACCTTAATATGAAGGAATACACTGGGTTCCAAGTTGCTTTGCTGAATAAGGTGATAGTCATATGAATTTAGTACTATTTTATACCACTGACAAACATTTTACTGAAATACAAATATGATAATATCACTTCCATATTGAGGAAAAGAAGAATTTTGGGGGGAAAAATTTTAAAACAAACTCTATACATGGAACCATAAATTATGTTATATAACATATAAATAAATAAAATATTCTGTTAACTGACATTCAGTTTTTTTAACCTTAAAAAGTACTTAATGTACTAGAAGATTAAGTACTTCTAATACTTAATGATCATAATACTACCATGGAATCAAATCAAAATTAAATAGAAATAGAAATTAAAATTAAATTAAAATAAAATTTAAATATAGATTAAATGTAAATAGAATTAAAGCAGGTATTGTATATGGTGTGTGAATGAATGGATGGGTTGATAAAGAGTAAACTAACCCATTTTATAGATGAGAAAACAGAGGTTTAGAGATTGCCTAAAGTTACAAAGCTGATGGTAGAATTCACTGTAGTTTTGTACTTGTACTGATAACCGTGGTCCTACAGCATGACTCTAAAATGCTTTATGAATACTCATTATTAAAAATATCTTCATCCCCGCAAGCTTTTTGTAGAAATAGGCAAGCTGATTCTAAAATTTATATTTAAATGTAAAGATCCCAAAATAGCTAAAACAGTTTTGGAAAAGAAGAATGAAGTTGGAGAACTTACAATCTGATTTTAAAAGTTACTGTAAAACTACAGTGACCAACACAGTGTAATGTTGGCATAACTATAAATATTTGGATGAGTGGAAAAAAATAAAGTCCAGAAGTAGGCCCTCACACATATAATAAATTAATTTTTAATGAAGGTGCTAAAATAATTTAGTGGGTGTAAAGATAGTCTTTTAAACAAATGGTGCTAGAACAATTGGATATTCATATGCAAAATAATACAAAATAATGAACTTGACCCTTACCTCACATTAATTGAACTCATGCTCCTGAATGGAAGAACTGAAACTATAAACTTCTCAAAGAAAACATAGGAGAAAATCTTCTTACAGCACAAAAAGCACAAACCAAAAAATGTTCATAAATTGAACTTAATTAAAATTAAAAAATTTTGCTCTTCAAAAGAAACTTTAAAAAATGGACTGGCAAGCTACAGCTTAGGAGAAAAGCATATATAAAGGACTTACATTAAAATATATAAATAACTCATATAACTCAATAATAAAAAGACAACATCCCAATAAAAATGGGCAAAATATTTGAACAGACACTTCACCAAAGAAAGTATACAAACACAAATAAGCACATGAAGAGATGCTCAACCCTGGTAACCATTAGGGAAATGCAAATTAAAACCATAATGAGATACCACTTCATACCTGTTAGAATGGCTAAAATTTAAAATACTGAAAAATATCAAAAGTTGGTAAGGATGTGGAGCAACTAGAACTCTCATACATTGCTGATGGAAAATAGTTTGCAGTTTTTAAGAAGTTAAACATATATTTGCTATACAACCAGCAATTCTATTTGTAATTAGCTACTAAATAGAAATGAAAATATATGTCCATATAAGGGCTTTGTATGCAAATGTTTATAGCAGCATTATTTTTAATAGCCAAAAACTGGAAACAATCCAAGTGTCCATCAACTGGTGAATAGATTAAAAAAAAGATGTGGCATATCCATGTAATGGAATACTATTCTGGAATAAAAAGAACAGACTACTGATAGATGAACATCATGGATGAATCTCAGAAGCATTATGCTAAGTGAAAGAAGCCAGATACAAAAAATTAGATATTGAAAAATTGCATTTATAAAATGGGATATAAAAAGACAGAAAGCAGATCAGTGGTTGCCTGGGGATAGGAATAGGGATTGACTACAAAAGGGTACTAGGAATTTTCTGGGATGGTGGAAGTATTCTAAAACTGTATGGTTTAGAACTGTGGTAATGGTTTCACAACTATAAATTTACTAACATTCACCAAACTGTTTACATAAAATAGGTGATTTTGTGGTATGTGAATTATACATCAAAGCTGTTTTTTAAAAACCTTCAGTCTTTAAAATTTGGAAATTAGTTTTTACTTAAGAGAATTTAGTTCTCTTTTAAAGAATATATAATAAGATCTTTAGAGTGAGATGTGAATTTGAGATTACTGGCTGAGATCACTAGTAAATTTCCATCTTTTGGCCCTAGAATAGTACATTAAGATTATATCATATGTCTTTATTTATTTATTTTTAGCTAACTAGTTTATTTATATATCTTATTTCCAAACCTATGCTGCAGGGTAGAGACTTTAGTCTCTTTTAATTCTGTGTTTGAAAATAAATTTTGTTCTTGAATATTTTTCAATAGGATTTGAAGCCACAGACATTTAGAAATGCTTATGACATACCAAGACGGAATCTTTTGGATCATTTAACGAGAATGAGATCTAATCTTTTGAAGAGCACCCGCAGATTTCTTAAAGGACAGGATGAAGGTTAGATCATGGTTTTTTAATATTGGTATTTTTTGTAATATTTTTCTTTGTAGTCTGAAAAAGCAGAATATGGTAATGTTAATTTTAAAGAATTAAAATTAACAGGAGTGTTATATTCTTGTAAATTCAAACAAATGACGTGAAGGGTGAGTCATTCCTGATTGTCTACCTTTCTTCTTAACATCACCATTTCCCCATAATCTGTTCCTAACAGGTAACACCTTTGTTAACAGTTTAGTTTCCTTTTTTTTTCTTTTTTTATTTTAGCTTTCCTCATACATTTGAACACACAGACACATCTATGCAATCATTTTCTTGTTATACACTAGTATCTGATCGTTTTACTCTGGATGGCCGACACATGCATGTTCTGATACTTCCTTCACATGTATCCATGGCATCTACTACAAATTAAGTCAGATGAGAATTTAACCCTTGCCATCTCTGATTTAAGCATTCTAACTATAGCTATATATAAAAAGGGTTATCTGTGTGACTGTCTTTTTCTACTATACAGTCAGTCCCCTCTCTATTCATGGGTTGTGCATCTGCAGATTCAACCAACTGTGGTTCAAAAATATTTGCGGGGAGGACTAGCTGGTTAGCTCAGTTGGTTAGAGCTTAGCTGCATAACACCCGGGTCATGGGTTCGGATCCACATACCAGCTAGCTGCAAAAAAAGAAAAAAAGAAAAAGAAAAAAAAATTGGCTGGAAAAAATGATAAAAAAATGATACTGCAATAAAAAATAATACAGGGCCGGCCCAGTGGCACACTGCTACAGTGCGCCGCTTGGGAGCGCAGCGGCGCTCCCACCGAGGGTTTGGATCCCACATACAGACCAGCCGCTCACTGGCTGACCGAGGTACGGGCGCAACACCGAGGGTTGCGATCCCGTTGCCGGTCCCGGTCCGGTACGGGCGCGACACTAAGGGTTGCGATCCATTGCCGGTCACGAAAAAAGACAAAAAGGAAAAAAAAATAAATAAATAAAAAATAAAAAATAATACAAATTTTAAAAATATAACAGCTATTTACATAACATTTACCTTGTATTAGGACTTGAGCCTCCGTAGATTTTGGTATTCTGGGGGGTCCTGGAGCCAATTTTTGGTGGATACCAAGGGACAACTGTACTATATAATACTTCTTTTCTACAAATGCTACTGTAATTAAATTCTGTTTATTTGGAATAGAGTAGAAGAGATATACCTTTTTATGGTAAGGTTATACATATTGCTTATTCTATGTACTGAAATAAACTGTAACATTTTTGATGTTTTGAAGATGAAATCAATATTTTAAATTTTAATTTTAAAATCTCAGACTTTGTCACAATATCTATAATTGCACCAAACTAGTTTAGAATATATGGTAAGGGAAGATTGTCTAGAATAACACCAGGTAACATTCGTACATAAGACATTATTTGATAACTAGATGGAGTGTAGTTTTAGTGAAGTTAACTTTTGTTGTTGTATTTTGTTTGAAAAGATCAAGTGCACAGTGTTCCTATAGCACAAATGGGGAATTACCAGGAATACCTCAAGCAAGTACCTTCTCCACTAAGGGAACTTGATCCTGATCAGCCTCGAAGGCTGCATACATTTGGCAACCCCTTTAAGCTGGATAAAAAGGTAATTTTGAAATGTTCTATTATATAATTTGTTTGTGGTAGCACTGTCAATTTAACAGTTCTTAAGGTAACTAATGAACTGTAGCTTTTCCTGGTAGAGTTCCTAATAAATGTCAACGCAGTTAGAATATAGTTTTAATTGGAATTAGGATTAGTTGGTGCCATTTAAAAATTGTATGTAAATCCAATAAAATTATTATTTTTTTCTGTTATAGGGTATGATGATAGATGAAGCAGATGAATTTGTGGCTGGACCTCAAAATAAACATAAACGACCTGGAGAACCAAATATGCAAGGGATCCCTAAAAGACGTAGGTGTATGTCTCCACTCTTGAGAGGCAGGCAGCAGAATCCTGTTGTGAACAATCATATTGGAGGAAAAGGACCACCTGCACCTGTGACTCAAGCACAGCCAGATCTTATTAAACCCCTTCCTTTTCATAAAAGTAAGAGTTGTTTTCTTTTTTTCTTAAACATTACTTGCTACTTTTTGGTTCCTCTTCAGGGAAGAGAATTTTGTCATAGCTTATAGAAAAAAAATGATCAATGGAGCCCAGTGAATGTCTAGAGAAGATATTTGTTTATTCTAAATGAGCATGTAATCATTTTTTATGTCTTTTTAATGAATGAATGTTGAACATTTCTTATACCCATGATGCTTTATTAGCTGTTGTGCTCTAAAATGTTATTTGCAAAATCCTAAGTATTTCAAAATAATAGTTTTGAAATGGACATTATTGATACCCACAGAAAGATGATTTCCAATTTCAGTTTAATTCAATGACTAATTATTAAATGCATACATTATTTTGGACAATACTAGACACTGAAGTCTAGCACTGAACAAGACAATAGTGATCTCTGCCCTCATTTATAATGAGCAAGCAAAGAAGGTCACTGAACAGATGATTAGGAAGTGTGATGAATGTTATAAAAGTCAAGTGGACTTTTGAGGTAAGGTGAGAACTGAAAGAGAGATGGAAGCCAGATCATAGAGAGCCTTGGAAGCTATTGTAAAGATTCTCAACTTTATTCTAAGGACAATAAGAATCCATTGAAGAGCTGGTGAGCTGATCTGTTTAACATTTTATAAAGACCAGGCTGACTGTAATGTGTTGAATATTATCAGGGAGGATAATAGTAACAACAATAATTAATATATTAATATCAGCAATATTAATAATATCAAGAATAAATATAGGAAATCTTAATTAATGGATTTATTAATTTTTAGGGTAGTGATCATTCCTGGCTTATAACATCTTAACTGAAGAGAAACCAAATATTGTGTACATCCTTATGGAATTATACGATACTACCTTTGAAGTAGTTGAGCAAAAAAAAATTGAACATCAATGTGATCAAGACTTTAGATCTAACAATTTATAGGAAATACAGGGACAGAAGCATGTTAAATGACAAAACAGGGATATGGTTAGCAAAATTCAGATTGCCAGCCCCTGCTCTTCCCTGCCCACCCCTGCTCAGCTGCTCTGGCCTTCTCGCTGTGCCCAAGCACACCTCCACCCCAGGAACCCCAGCTCTTCGCCTGGACTGCTCTTCTGCCAGCTGCCCTCTGGCCTCCTGCCACTTCCTGGGTCCTGCGCTCACCTTTCAGCTCCTCACGGTGGGCTTCCCTGACCACGGTATTCAAAGCAGCCTCTCCATCCTCTCACTCTTTTATTTTTCTTCTTCCTACTTTCCATTGGTGTTATATATGTTTCAATTATTTGACTGCTGCCCATTGTGGTAGGCAGAATGACCCCCCCCCAAAAAAAAAAAATCCATGAACCAATTGCAATGTATAGGCTTTAATTAGACCTGGAAGCAAACCTTTCCACCAACAGAAAATGTATTAGGTAAATGGAGAATGTGGACACCGGATATTTGATGTTATTAAATAATTATTGTGTATGCACAGGGACAAGCTAGGAAACTCAGGGAAGAGTTGTTGGGGCAGTGGGGTTGCAAGAAGAATACATGCTTGAGAAATACTTGAGCGTATCAGCAAAAGGACTTGGTGACTGATTTGTTGTTGAGGCCAGGGCAAGGGAGAAGTCAGGCTCTGTCTTGTGAGACACTGGGTGAGGTGGAAGAAGAGATGATGAGTGAGTTTAGTTTAGACGTGCATATTAGATAGCAAAGCAGAGATCCTAAATCAGAAAAGATGACTATTTGAGTTTGGGGCTCAGAAGAGGGCTGTAGATGGGTAGGTATGAGGAGGCAGGTTACTGCCCATTGGAGTGAATAAAATCTCACCAAGGGAAATAATAATAAGAAGGAAAAAAAGACCTGAGAACAGAATCATGAAAGAGGGGAAAGAATAGAAAAGGAGACTGAGAAGGAAGAATCCGAGAGATAGGAGAAAATAGAGAAGAATTTAATATTGTGGAAGCTAAAAGGAAAGTGTTGAGTGGGTGGTGAGGGTTTATGCAACCAGTTTAAGAAGTTTAGCTGTAAAAGGAGGGTGGGGAAAAAAGTGGTAGCTGGAAGAATTCATGGGATTGAAAATGGTGATATTGCTTTGTATTTAAAATCAGAGACACTTGAGCATGTTTAAATATTGGTGTGATGGAACTAGTGGAGAGGAAGAGGTTGAAACTGAACACAAGGAAAGGCATAGTCAGCACAGACTCACTGAGAACGCAAGAGGGAATGGTCCAGAGCACAGATGAAGAATGCCGCTTCCGTAGAGGCAGAATGGCTGTGGGGACAAGTTTACAGGGGAAAGTAGAGGAAGTTACCGGCCCATGGCTTTGCTCTTTTTTCCTCTGTGAAGCAGGAGGTGACATGTATTGCTGAGAATGAAGGGGTGATTGGGAAAGTCAGATTGGAAGAGTGGAGACAGTTTGAATAATGCTGTGGGAAAGGGAGAAAAGGTTGTGGTAAGATTGCTAGACAGTGCTGAGGATCTAAGTACAAATGGTGATTGTGACCACTCTAGAGCCAGCCATATTTCTCCAGCAGTGCTCATCATTCCAAGTGCAGGTCTGCAGCAAGCAGGTAGAGTGAGTCATCAAATCTGGGGTTTTGCCTGAGAGTTGTCATGAGAGGACAGTAGAACAAGAGAAATTAGGACATTGGTAAGAAGTGACATACCATGAGATGTAAGCCTGCTAGATAAGAAAGTGGCTATGTAGAAGGGATATGATTAATAAGAGGGCAAAAGTAGACGAGTTGTTGGAGTAGAAGTCTGGCTGATTAAAGAGCAGTAGTGGCAGTACTGCAAAGACGAAGGAGATGCTCCTCCACCCCTAAATTTGTGTTGGATGTGACAGGCAGAAGCGTAAGTGGAAAGTTCTTTGGAGAGAAGTTGAGGAATGGGGAGGCCAGGTTCTGGACAGGGGATCTGTTTAGACATTGAAGTCACTATAGCACTTCTCAAACTTTAACGTGCACGTGAATCACCAGGGTGGTGGGTGGAGGGGTGTGTCTAGTTAAAGTACAGATTGTCATTCATTTGGCTGGGCTGGGGCTCAGGATGAGCATTTCTAGTAGGCTCTCTGATGATGCTGATGCTGCTTGTCCACAGACCACACTTTTTTTTTTCAAGAACCTAGAATGAAGTCAGGAGGGACTTGGGGGTGGGAAGAAGGCTATGAACCAGATGCCAGAGACCTCATTGACTACAAGCATGTGCCCTGGAGTTCAATATAAGATAGTGATGAGGAGAGAGAGCTTGAGTTTTGTGGTTGAGCCTCAGAAGAACAAAAGTTTTTACAAGAGTGCATAGGAGGAATCTTGAAATGGCACTGGGAGGAGAAGGGATCAGTGACTCTACATCCTGATTTTAAGTTCATGGAGGATGTGTGAGAGAAAGCAATTTCTACTTCTGGTCTGCAAAGGAGAGCAGTTTCTTCACAAGAAAGCTGGTTTCCTGTAAAGCATTAATTTTGGACAGTAAATGAGGACAGTACAGATAAATTCAGCTGGTGTCCTGGAAATTGGTGAGTAATCAGAGAACTTAGACTTGTTCCCCACAGAAAGCAGCCGAATTCTAACAATCCAGTGTTAAGTGGAAAGCTTGCAAGCTTTCGGGTCTAGTGGTCTAATGAGCTGAGGTGGGCACCAGGTTGCTGTGCATTGCTCAGCTCATGAGGACTATAGATGGATGGTTATAAGAAAAGTAGGTGCCGTGAAACATGACCTGTTTGATGGTGTGTTCCCTGCAGAATTTGGAATAGTATAAAGGGTCCAGTAACGATAATAGATGTAGAAAGTAGAGGTAGATTGGAATGAGTTAAGGTTCTTTAAGGTAAAGATAACTATGTTGATTTTGGTCATATGTATTTCACTAAACTATTGAAAACCTACTTGTTCAATAAAATTACCATAAAATAGAGAACTAAAAGCCAGTTGAAACTGGTTTTATTTTTTCCTAAGGGCAAAAAGTATACAGATTTTGTAAATACTGTGAATGTTTCACATTGAAATTGACCATATCTTTGGGAAAGCTTAAGGACCACTTTGCTAATTTGCATTAGTCAAGGAAATAGTTGTGATTTGCTGTAATTATGTTCCTTTGTAGCTTTATTTACTGTGTGCTTTGAAATTGGCTCTCATAATTTTTTTCCCTGATGTTTGTTTTTAGTTTCAGAACCCACTAATGATTCAACAATAGATGATGTGGTTGAAAATCATGTTGCAGACCAACTTTCATCAGACATTACACCAAATGCTATGGATGCTGAGTTTTCAGCATCTTCTTCAGCCAACTTATTGGAACGACCAACCAATCATATGGAGGCTCTTGGTCATGACCATTTAGGAACTAATGACCTCACTGTTGGTGGATTTTTAGAAAATCATGAGGAGCCAAGAGATAAAGAACAGTGTGCTGAAGAGAATATACCAGCATCTTCACTCAACAAAGGAAAGAAATTGATGCATTGCAGAAGCCACGAAGAGGTCAATACTGAATTAAAAGCACAAATAATGAAAGAGATCCGAAAGCCAGGAAGAAGTATGTATAATTAAGAGACAAACCTCAAATTTGATTTCTGTGTGGACTCAAAAAACAAACAAAAGTCAAATAACTAAAAGCATAGATATGATTCCAGATAAGTCTTGAACAACATCTGAACTACTGAAGATTAGATTCTTTACTCATTTGACAAACACTGATTATCTGCTATGTCCAAAGTACTAGGTATGGTAGACAGCTGAGACTGAGAGCAAAGGAAGACAATCTACAGGGATAAATTATACGTAGTTCCTACCACAACAGGGACCCATAGTCTTGAGTATTTTTCTAATCAGCAACTGGAATTTTGATATAGCAGCTAACACAGAAAGAGGTAGTGAATATTAAATGACTTCATGTTCCTAAAGTTCTCATCACAGTGCCTACCACTGCTAAGATTTAAACCATGATAGTGACAAGGATATGTTTAGGCCAGAAAACTAAAGTTATAAGAGCTATCAATTATATGAATACAAAAGAACTTTGTGGGCAAAAGTTTCAACATTATTGACATTCATTAGGAAGATAGGGTTAGGGTTAACCCTAACCCTAACCCTAACCCTAACCCTAGCAGATCACCTGCTATGATGGTAGTGAAATGATCCATGGGTGGTCCAGAAGTGGATAAGGCTCAGTCCTTTTTTTTTTCCCCCTTCCTTTACCCTCCGTGTTAGCTATAGTTTAGAATTTAAATTGTAAGAATAGATTTTTGTGAAGGCCACTTGCCTCTTATTTTTCTGTGGTACTACTGAAAAACTATTTACTCATCCTTCTATCCTTTATGTTTGATATCTTAATGGGAACTTTTACCAAAACAGTGTCTAACAAGCTGTTTTATCTTGGTTGATACATATTTCCTTCCACATATATATGTTAATATGTATTATAAAATTAATGAGTAGTGAAATTTTTACATAAAATGTTTTTGTCTCAGCGTGTATTAATATAATAAACAGCAATAGAAAAATATTGAATGAATACAAAAGAAAGCCACTTAACTTTTCTTTCTGCTTCTCTTGTTTTAAGAATATGAAAGAATCTTCGCTTTACTGAAGCATGTGCAAGGCAGTTTACAAACAAGACTAATATTTTTACAAAATGTCATTAAAGAAGCATCAAGGTAAATAAACTATTACATGTTAAGAAATGGTGATAAAATGAGTCCCAAGTTTACATAGGCAGTATTTTAACAGTATCTCTTTTGCACTTGTGTGTTTTATGCTTATTTATAACACACCCACACATAAATACTTCTTTTCTTCAGTTTATTGAAAGAAATTTACTGAGAAAATAGCTACACACAAATTCTTCAGGAATTATGGAACTTTTCTCCCTGCAAATTTCTAGACACTTGCATAATTCTCATTTATTCTTCTCTGTAGCTTTTTGATGTCTTTATACTTTACAGCCTTCAGATTTTCTTCTGTATATATTATTATTATTTGGTGATTAGAAGTAATCTAGAAAGGCAATATTTGAATATAGTTCATTTTTACATGGGAAGACATATAATTAAGAGGACCAGAGTTGAACAAATGGACCTTATTCTGATTGTTTTAGTAGCCCAGGATTATTAGCATAGGTATTGTGGTTCAAGGTCATAAATGGTAACAATGAAGATCGATTAATTGGAAAGCATAGTCGTATGAGTTTAGAAGCATTTTTTATTTTTCCTTCAAGACTTTTCGAATTTTAGCATATTAAGAAAACTTCAGATTTATCTCATCTGACTTTCCAAATGTAAACATACCCACCCATTAGTCCCCTAATCTCTTCCATGCTACACATAAAATTTTTAGATAGAGCAGTTAATTTAATTTTTTTTTGAAGTAGCTAGAACATAGGCCACTTTGAAGAATCAAGATTAAGGCCATAACTTTTCATATAATTTTGAGTATTATTATCCTGTCTTCCTCTTTATGGTAATATTCAGTTAGCTTAACCCTCATCATGGATTTAGCTGTGTTCCTGGTATCTACACTCCACTTCTGCCACCTTTTAGAGAGTTGCATATATTATGATGTCTGTTTATATTAGTTTACAAGTAGAGAGGAAGTAGGAATAGAATGCCCAGTGTTTTGGGATATTCTAAAAAGCATCAGCAATATTAATATTTATGTAGATGAATGCAATTTTAGTCTACCTATATTTATTACTGAAAAATGTTTTAAATTGCCCCCTGAACTTTTAACTGCTTGCTATATCCTATGTTATAGATATCTAATTATCCTTGATTTGCCAGCGTTTGAATTATAGTAGTAGAACGCATGGTTTTTAAATACTACTGACGAGTTTTCATTTCTTTTTCTATTTTGTGGGTAATTATATTCATACTTTGTTCACATTCCTTTCAACATTCAACTTTCAAAGAGCATGAAAAACTATTGGAGTAATTGCTTTGGCAACCCAAATTTTGCTAGAGTATTTGCAACCCTTGCATATATTAGTATTTTTTTCCTTTTGGTTGTGGAAGGAATAACCTCTTTCCTACTGTCTAGGCCTACATTATTTGTTTTAGGGATTAACTATAATACTGTATTGGTACAATAATTTACTAATCTTTCAACGGATTTTTGTCAGAGTGGTGATTTTCCATTTTCATTTCACCTTGAAAAATCTTCCCAAAAGCAGTTTTTCTCTCTCTTTTAAAAAAATATTATATTGGTGTATACTATGCATTAAAAAATTGAGAGAGCTATTATTTATTTTTTCATACAGGTTTAAAAAACGAATGCTAATAGAACAACTGGAGAGCTTCTTGGATGAAATTCATCGAAGAGCCAATCAGATCAACCATATTAATAGCAATTAAAAGAAAATAGGATGTGGCCACTTATTTCACTATCTTCTCCAAATACAAAGTAAATACAAGACTGTTGTGATCTTGCATTCATTTTTGACATGCATTGTTGTCTATTTGAAATACTAAAAGCAAGTCTACAGATTCTTTTTCCATCATTTTACAGTAACCTTTTCTTCATTTTGGTTTATTTTTGTAATGTGAAAAGTATCACTCTAAAAAACATTTTTATTTAACAAACTAAAAATATTCCTCCAGATTTCTTGCTTGTCATTGACTCTTGCGTGTCAATTTCCCTCAGGTTCTATTTTCTTAAACCAACCTTTAAAATTGTCACCTCTGTTAAGGTTGAACTTTGCCAAAAAAAAAATTAAAAAGAAGTTACTTTGTAATTTTTGGGGAAAAAAGCACATACATTAAAACTAGGTAATGTTTTGTATATACAGTTATTTTGGATATATTATTGTAAGTTGTACAAATGTATTTTGAAGAATATTTAAGAAAAGCACTTTTGTTATTCCATCAATAAATGCTCTATTTTACTCTTGTGTGGTTTAGGAAATAATCACATTTAAAGTAATCATTTAAAAACATCCTAAGATAATGGAATTTTAAAGGCCTTTCTTTTTTGCATTGAAAAAATACACCACTTGAAGTTCATATTTGTTAAACCTAACTGTAATTACATGTTACATAATCTGCATTGTCATTTTATTATATGTTCATAGTTTTTGTTGGCCACACCAACATACTCCCATTTCTGCCTAGGTAATGGGAATGACTGTGTCTGGCGGATAGGCAGACACTTTCAAAGCTGTTTAAAGAGCAGACAACCTTGGACACGACCGGTTTCTTTACTTCCCTTCAACCCATTTTCCTTTCTCATTAGGATTGTGGATGGCACTAAGTTGAAGCTGTTAGGTAGGGAGTGGTAAGTTTGGAGTACATTACATACTGTGAAATGTCTGGTATTTAGCAGCTTGATGCCATACTTAAAAACGCCCACAACAATTGGGCGTTCAAAGGGGATCTCTTTGTTCTGCTCTGCTATTCTCACACTGAAAACTCTCAATTATATTTAGAGAAGCTAAATGGAAAGGAACTACATTTAAGATGACTTAGTTCATTTTGCATCAAACCAACACTGTTCATTCTCCACCCTCAGTCCAACATGGCCTTGTCCATCTTACTGAGGATGTGAACCTATGGCCTGACTCACTCACCATTCATAGATCACAGCTGTGCCTTAGTGGTTTGAGGGGGTAACCAGTGGAAAAGAAGGTTAACATAGTTTTGGGTTAAGAGAGGGTAAAATAAACTTATAAAATTGAAGTATTCTTAAATTCATAATATTTGAAAGTCACATACCCTTATCTTTTTACACTTTATCAGAACTTTTTTTAAATTTTAAGGGTGTAACAAAATGAAATTGTAACTTTTTATGAAGAAAAGCATAGATGAAAGTGGAGAACGTGCTTGAGATCTGCTAATTTAGTCTAAGGGATTTGAAACTCTCCCAATACTGAAGACAAATCCTGTCAAGAAAAAGAAGCATTTAATGTAACATTATATAGTATTTTCATATGCAATTCTTTAAACTTTGTTTACCTCTACAAAATACCTTTAAGTAAAACAGGATATCATTTAATAGATGGAATTGTTAAGTAATTGTCTACAGTCACATTGCTGAATTCAACAAGAGCTACACAAAATCCAGAATATATTTTGTGGTCTGAGATTAACAGGAGGGATTAGAAGCCATTCAGATAAAAATTCACACTTAACAAGAATATGTAGGAAAGGGAGTCAACTTCCAATATTTAGCAGCTTTTCTTATCAGAAAGTTCTTATTTCTGTTTCACAAATTGCTTTTGAGATAATAATCTTTTAGACCCTTGACCATTACTACATTTTCCAGAAAGAAGCCTACAGGGAGTGGGGAAGTAGCAGTTTGTCCTGTCTCCTCCTTTTGTCTTTTATCTCTCTGCCATTATACCCTTTACACCCTCATCCCAAGACCTAGTCAAGAGATTTGAAACCCATTGAAACTAAAGATTAAATCCATCTCTGTCAGGTTTTTTTGCATTTTAAAAAGCTATAGGCACATTATTTAAAGTACTGAAGTACCATTGTAGAATTCTTGTCAGCAAAGGGGAGGGGGAATCTGCCTGGGGGGAATATTATATCTTTTAGGCCCTTTAGATCACTGAATGACTTCAGGCTGGACAAATGAAATTCTCCAAAAGTTTAATGTTGAGGTTTTTAGATCATTTTTCTTAATGTTCCCCTATGTGTCCCATTTGTTGATTGATTCATTAGTTGCTCATAGTAAGATTTGTCAGTTTGGATAGTGAAGGCTGAGACTCATTTCTAATCTCTTCAATAACTGTCACCAGAAGAACAGCCACTTTCCCTTGTGTGGTGAAGTGCTTCCCAGAAAGTGGTAAATAAATTCGCAGGGACTAAGATTTGCGCTGGATTATGGATTAGCTTTATATTTTCTTTCTCATTACTAAGGCAGTTCTGAAAACTCATACCATTGAAATAGTGGTATAGTCCTTTCCTAGGTCAAGGATTTTACATCATTTTTATGCAGTTGAATTCCAAAATATGAATCTTTTTCTTTTAACTGTCATCAACCTTTATTGTCTATCAGCTTTTGGCAATGACCTTTCTATTAAAGTTTAGTCCTGTCTCATTGTTTCTTGAGGGAGTGGAACCTGTCAGGTTTTTTTTTTTTTTCATCTTTCATTTTTTGACATGTCTCCTTTCTAATAGAGGGTTCTGCTGCCTGTTGTGAGTGATAAATGACATTTTCATCTATTCACTATGGGTTTGGGATGATCATGGTGAAATACTAGGATATATTCTGTTGATGGATCTTTCCTCCCTCCAAATCCCCAAATAGTTTATTTTCTAGTGAATGATTATCTTCATCCTTTTTTTTTTTCACAAAAATGTTCCTTTAATTTCTAGTGCAAGTTACAGCAGTATGCAAATGATTCTCAGTTAAAATGATGTTGACAGTATTTCCTTAATGATTTGTGTAAACTTATGCGTAAGTTTCATTATTCTAACTTTTGACATTTTTTTCTCTCCATAAATAAAAGTAATGCCTGATGTTTAGTTAAAGTAGATCCACCTTTGCTTGATTTTATTAGTCTTGTTCCATCCTGTTTCTTTTAATACACTGTTTAGACTTGCCAACAACTCTTTACTGAGAATCTCTTTTCCTTCTTGGGCTGATAGATAATTGTAGGGGGGGGAAAGAACGTTAAGAGAAATTATTGGAAGACTGTTGAATGTTGTTGAAACTTAAAAGACACCTGCTTGTCCTGATGTGCTAAGGCTTTGCCTGTACCATACTATCTTTGGATTAAGATATACTAGGGCAAACATTTCGTTTCTGAGAAAGATTAACAGAATAACAATATAAAAATCCAGGGCTGGCCCGTGGCTCACTCGGGAGAGTGCGGTGCTGATAACACCAAGGCCCCGGGTTCGGATCCCATATAGGGATGGCCGGTTCGCTCACTGGCTGAGCGTGGTGCTGACAATATAAAAATCCAGGTGCATTCACTAGAATATTTAGAGTCACTGGGAGTCACTAGAGAACTACCCTGTTATACTCTAGTGGGCTGAAAAAAATGATCTCTCCTAAAAGCAAGAAAGCTAGGGGACAACTGAAAAAAAGGGCAAGATTTATCATTTATTTTACTTCCTGATTTTTCATAGTCTCCCCAAAAGTAGAAACTTACTGAATTTTGTTTTTGAAGTCTGCACTAACTACAAATGAGCTGAGAGAACAAGAAGGCAAAAAACATGGAGAATAATAGGTCCCTTTGTACTTATGAAATATTCTTCTTTCTCAGGATATAAGACACAGCAACTGAGAAGCTTCTGAAACACCATAGAAATAGAAGGAATGTTTGTTTTAGGCAGTCATAGACAAATTGGCCTTTGTTGCTGAGAGATGCTGATAAATATTTAATTTATCTGAAACTTATCAAAAAATATTGAAATACCTGTGTTGGGTTCTCTCAGGAAAAAGATGAATGGCCGATCAGCTTTAAAAATGGGAATCCTAGACCTTTTCAGTAACAACAGAGCTGCAGGAAAGATAAAGAGTAGAAGAATCCCATTGCATTTTCTACTCATTTGAAGAAAATTGTTATTTAAATAGGATACAAAGTTAGTTATGTCCCATGATTTTTGAAGTAATCAAAGCATCCTAATGACATTGCAGTGTTTAGTGTGGTGGTGTGGTGAAAATGGGAAAATCAAAGAGAAAACATACCATTTAGCCAAGCCTGTTTCCTATTTTGAAAATATTTCATAGAATAAATTTTTTCCTGAAGGTTAATTTTTAGAATGACTATTCCTTATTTATGGGAAGATGGGAAGATGGTACAAATCCTTTTCAAAAAGGATATCTCTTTTCTGCCATCATTTTTCGAAAACTTTTTGCTTTCTGTTAACATTTCTTTTTAAAAAGTGCTATTCCAGGCTGACCCCATGGCTCACTCGGGAGAGTGCGGCGCTGCCGCGGATTCGGATCCTATATAGGGATGGCCGGGTGCGCGCACTGGCTGAGCGCAGTGCGGGCGATACCAAGCCAAGTGTTGTGATCCCCTTACCGGTCACAAAAAAAGAAAAAAAAAAAGTGCTATTCCACATCTGGACTTGGAATTTAAATGGAAAGGTTTAGAAGTGTGATGACTCAACAGGATAAATTTAACAAAGGTAGATAAAGGCAAGCAGTGTGACCAGGTATTGCTTACTTCTCTGTGTGAACATACCTGTGGCTGCAGATGCTTTGGTGCCTTCCTCTAAAACTTCAATCTTGGCCTTGTGGATAGCTTCAGAAACATAAAAGCCATCTTGACCTAATTCCAGGAAATAAAAAATGTGAATTGCTCATTTGCATTTTTTTAACGCATTTAGTGTAAAGATTTTTAAAGAATGTATGTGTAAAACTCAGCAGTGCTGCATACTGTGTAGCTAGGGAACGATTATTTGTTTGGAAAATTCTTAAGGTTCAATATTTTATGCAGCTTTCAAAACCTCAATTTGTTAAATTTGAGAACCTCTTTCAAATTAATATTTAGAGCACTGCTTCATTTTTTGAATGGATAATTTTCAAAAATGATTTCTAGTTAATATTAAAATCTTTCCTCAGCCAGTATTTAGTATATCTAAAACTTCAGTAGTCATAAGAATTGTTCAGGAATTTGTCAAAATGCAGAGTTTGTAGTCCAGGAATCATTTTCAGCAAGCTTCTGTGATAATTTCCCTAGAATGCCTTCTTAGACTGCATATTAAGTGCCACTTTTAAATGACAGTCATGGGTGTGTATTATGGGCTTCATTAAGAAGCATAATTCAGTGTATTAAAAATGTGTCTAATGTTGCATGACTGCATTCAATATACTTAGGTATATCAGTTAACTTGCCTCATAGGCTAGAATCTGTAAAGAAAATGAGAGGTTAGAACTATATTTTTCTGTGTGCTAACAATTTCAAAGATATCATAAGCTTAGCAAATAGGATTGTAAGTGATAACTTAGAGGAACTGACAGATTTTTATTTAACCATTAATCATTTTTAAACTCTCCAAAGATGAAATGGTACTTGATGACAATAAGTGAAAGTCAGAATCTTTAGAACCAGAAGAAATTTTAGAAATCATTCAGTCCAATCCTTTTATTTTAGAGTGAGCTGTTAAGTCATCTGAGATCACACACCTGATAAGCAGACTTGGGAATATGTAGGTTTTCTAACTCAAAGTCCACTTTCACCCCACCTGTGCACTCAAAATGTGTATTCTAGTCTAGCATGCCACTGGAAAGGGATCTGTGGCATGAGTGTTAAAATAATCATTTTGAGTGTACATGTATTGTGAGGGAGCTTTCTTTGTTTCATCTTAGACTAATATGTAAATTGGTTTGCATTTGTCACACACAAGGAGAGAATGTTGTGAGAGAATAAACTGGCCCAGAATGTAGAACATGCAGCCTTCCATCCATCTTGTAAATAAGGTGTACACTGGATATTGTGAGTTGGCTATATTCACTGTTAAGGAACAGTTATTTTTCAACATCAGTGAAGGGGACTGACTGGCAAGGGCCAGAGAAAGAGAAAAATCAATGGAAACATTAACTTGTCATCACTTGTCCTAAAACTAGTGAAGAATTCGATTTATTTTAGCAGTTGATCTTTTTCTGCAGGATCTTTAAGAAAAGAAACAAATTTCTGTATCATTCATGACTAGCCTCTCTTACTAGCTTGTTGAGCAAACTGAAATGCAATGTCAAAATTAAAAAGAGAACTTTATGGATAAAGAATGGTTTTTTGACAGTCATGAGAAGGTTTTACTAATCTCTGTGACTTCATTACTATTCAGTATGGTGTTGGAACATTATAAACAAATGTCGATAAAATGAGCGGAGGTTCACTATGAAACTCCTTATCAGTTAAAATATAGTGAATGTGTCTGTGTTAAGTCTAGGTCTCTTGACATGGTGTGAAAAATGGGACCAATTGGTGTGGATGAGTCTGATTAGATGGTCTGGGCCATTACAGTATCTTGTAACTGCAATAGAAAGTTTTCATTTACATTGATTTTCTCCATCAGACTACAGGAGTGGTTTAATAATTGACATTTGTATGTTTGCATAGCCATAAGCCAAGACCCATGGCCTGTCATGCCTCAGCATCAACATCTCCTGAATTTTATCTCTGGTAAAAGTTGACTTTTCAAATAACCAATGTGTGATAAAAATGGGAATTTGGGAGTCATCTGTGGATTTGTGTTTTTTCTCTTGCTTGTTCTTGAATTACAGATCCCCATTTGCTTACTTTTGTTAAGTAGCTATTGAAATATTATGCAACTAATGAAATCAGCCTAGAAGAAGTCAAGCACAAAGGGATTATTCTGGCCGTTTTTTCCTCCCCTGAAGTGTTGGCAGCTGTTTAGTGTCATTGAGGGTCATACAACCTGTTTTCCCAAAATTTGTTCTCAAGATCATCCACAAGTGCTATCTGTAAAAAGGGCTCCATGATTAATTTAATGCGGGAGATGCAGGTTAAACAGTTTTGCACTGTTTTGTCTTTTAGTAGAGGACTTCTCAAACCTGCTAATTTGCTAATGTTTGTAGTGAATCTCTACAGCAGGATTACATACCTAGCGTTTAACCATGGAACCATTCACACCATCCCCTGTCCCCACGTTTGCTGAATTGGCATTCTGGGAAGCATACTTTGGGGAACTGTAGCCCACTGTAAACTCATTTACTCCTACATTACATTCAATATCCAAAGCAAAAGGGTAAGATTCTTCCTACTTTTCCTCCTGGCACACTCTCCATTCTTCTTCTATAACATCTTCTACAGGTATTTACCTTCCTTTTTAGACTGTTAGCTCTTAAAAGGCAGGAACGATATCATATTCATTCAAAATTTTTCTTTGCCCAACTTGCATAATAGTGCTTGGTACATGTATGTGTTTAGTAAATATTGGATGAATTAATAATGGACACTCCTCACACTGTCCATTTGTCTCTTTTGCCCATAGAAGAAGCTGCCTTAATGTTCTTTAACTTGATTTCACTTGTAAGGAAATGTTGATTGGTGTCTGTAGAACCATAAGGAGACAGCCTAGAATGGGTTTTTGGCAAGACTTAGCCAAATGATTGTTTCAGTGCCTCCTTCCCATTTGTTAGTGTAGATCATTATTCTTTGTGTGTAGTTGGTCATACTCTCAAAAGGCATAAGAGTCTTCATAACTTGACATTGTGTAAACACAAGATTTGCAAAATGTGAATTGATGTCCCTATATTTATTATACTCAGCTTCTCATAAAGCAGGATAAACATATCATTTGCTGTTTCTTTTGTCTTTCCAGTTATCACTTACTATTGGCAAAGTTAGTGAAAAAGTTATTGCCAGAACTTGCTTCTTTCCCATCTTCTTGTCACTTAGTTGCTAAAAGATGGAGGGTGTGTGTGTGTGCGCGCGTGTGTGTATGTGTGTGTCACATAGCACCCAACCCAGGACCTAGAGAGAAAGTACTAAGAATTTGAGATGGCCTTTGAAACTAGGCTGTGGTTAGTTGCTTTCTCCGTTTCTTTCCCCTAGCTCACTCCTCACCCCTTTATTGCAGCTCTGACTAGACATCTGGTGTGGCATAAATTAACTATGTACTCAACCAAACAACTCTGGGTGGTTTGCTCATTTGGTCATAGTAACAGATAGCGTTTACGTCTTAGTGAGCAAAGATTGAAAGCAAAGAACATGATAGTTTTTCAGAGTTTCAAGTTTGTGCGCCAGGATATTTCTTGGATTTGGGGGCATGGGTCTGTCTCACAGCCTGCTGACCCTAAAGGAAGTGAGATTGTTCAAGGAGAGTATCTTCAGCTGGTATCTTTATTGTGAGTGAAATTAAAATTACTCTTAAAAGCTTCGTAACACCTAGTGTCCAGTATGTCTGGGGGGAAAATTTTTACCCTGGGGTCAATTGGGCCTTGAAATGATAATTGAGGGAGTTCTTGTGATGCCAAGATGGAAGAGAAAAGTGACTTTTAAGTGGGGAAGGAAAACTTCAGTGAAATGATTCTGGGCTTTGGAACCAAAAGGAAAAATGTTGGGTTGGGTTGTTGGGCTTCCATCAATAGCACAAAACTGCTTGGTAACCACTTGTTAGTTGGAGGAAGGGAGGCCAGCATTTTTTGATCATTTAACTTTCTGGAAAGCACTCCGCTGATGTTGTGCTATATGAGTATGTTAAATCATTTCATTTCTACAATTAAGATGAGGTGAGTGGTGGCCACTCCCATTTTGGTAATGAGGAAAAGATTTCTTGGAGATATTCAGTGGCCCTATCTCTAGAATATATAGTCAAAAGCCCACTTGGGCTCAGAAGTGATTAGTCTCTTGATTATGTTTAAAGAAGGGCATTGGAAAGCAATACTTTAGTTGGCAACCTTTTTCTATAGAGGGCCAGGGCCAGATATTAAATATTTTAGCCATTGCAGGCTGAACATTGTCTGTCCCAACTACTCAACCATGCTGGTGTAGCAGGAAAGCAGCCATAGATGATTTGTAAACTAATGGGAGTGGCTGTGTTTCAATAAAACTATAGAAACAGGTGGTGGGCCATCCATCATTTGTTGACCCCTGCTTTAGAGGAACAAAATTTCATGGGAGAAGATTATAAGGCTGGTGTGTTTTGTTAGTAGGAAACATGAATTCAAGTTTCAAGTTTCATGAATGGTAACTGCTTGATAATTATTAAATAAGCCAGATCCAGGAGCCTATATTTCTGCTAATTTGAACAAATATAAGTAGACTTGAATTGCATCAGAATAAAAGAGGTTAGGTGTCCAAAAAAAGATAGTTTTTAAGCTAGGTTGCTTATCAGATCTAGTCAGAGGAGCTTGTGGACCTTAAAGTCTTTACTGATAGGAAAATTGCATGATGTGGGTTAAAATTAGTCCTGTTTGAAGACACAGGATGGATGGCATTTTAGGATGTACTTCTAGGACATAAAGGGAGAGAGATTTAGGAGTTAAGAAGGAACAATCAGTAAGTCATAGTGATTTATTGGATATAGTGGTGTGGAAGAAAAGGTCGAGAATGGCCCCAAAGTTTTGAACTAGAATGATCAAAAGAAGAATAGAATCACCGTCAACAGTAGGGGTGCCATGGCTGAACTCTGGAGTTGCAAGAAGACATTGTGATCGGGATTTAGCACGTTACTAAAGATAGAATGTGCTTACGTTCTTAATTCTGCACTCTTTCCTTTTCCTCTGATCTTTTCACTACAATATTCCTCCTTTCCCTGCAGTATCAGATTATGCCTGTGTCACTAGGGAAAATTTCTCATTAAGCCGTTCAACCAGGTCAACAGTATTTATTGAGTATCCAACTGTATGCCAACCACTGTCAGAGGCAGTGTGCCCAAACTTGACTATTGCTTTGCTTATCTCTAAATGTTTAGGCAATGAGCTGGTAGATTTTAAACACTCTGCAATAGTTCCTCCTGTGTTTTATTTGATAAGTATCTCATGCCAGTCAATCTGTCTGGTCACATCTAAAGCCCAAGCCAAGAATTCTCTTGTGGATCAAACTCATTTTTTTTCTGTGATTGCTTAAGAAGGATGATTCTGAGCAAAGCTTTAGAAAACTTCTCTGCATTATGACATTATAACACTCAAAATAGTAATTTTCAAGCTTATCAGGTAAGGCCAATGAAAATACCAGCTACAGTGTCATTTTCACACAGATAAGTTACTATCCAGAGTAGAAAAAAATCTGAGCCTTTGAGTTGGTAATAGTTTAGCCAATGAGTTGGTAATAGTTTAGCCAATGGTCTCCTGAGAGGATTCTGGAACATAGGTTCTGGCATTCCACTCCTTTTTTATATTTGATGTAAGTTCCCTATCAGGTCACAGGCAAACATAGGTCCTATTGAATGGTAGTAGCATCTTAAATACGGATGCTGGGAAGGAGAAAATTTTCATGCAAGGTTACAAGAGCATGGGTAATTAGAAGAAAGATAATTGGATAGAGGAGGGAATGTTTCAAGCCCAGCCCATTAGAAGAAGACAGAGAGGATACAGAAAGAGGGGAGGGAGAGGACGTAGAAACAGAGGGTGGCCGTGAGGCTGGCGTGGTGCTGGAGGGCCAGAATGAAGACTTCTGTGTTTGCACCAGTGTCTCTGGAACACTGCTAGTCACCCAAGAGGAGGGTAGTGAGTTCGCTGCGTCTCATGGCCATTGACCTCTCTATGAGGGTGGTCTCTGAAAATTATGCTTAAAGGTCACAAGACACATCCCTTGCCCACAAAGTCTAACCCCAATTTGCCTGTTATCAGAAGCAGCACATTCTTATGTAAAACAAAGTAATTTCTTTTTTTTTTTTTTTCCTTTTTGTCTTTTTTTTTTTTTTTGTGACCGGCAACGGATCGCAACCCTCAGTGTCGCGCCCGTACTGGACCGGGACCGGCAATGGTATTGCAACCCTCCGTGTTGCGCCCGCATCTTGCTCAGCCAGTGAGCGGCCGGGCTGTATGTGGGATCCGAACCCTCGGCGGGAGCGCCGCCGTGCCCCCAAGCGGCGCACTGTAGCAGTGCGCCACCGGGCCGGCCCTAAAACAAAGTAATTTCTTTATTCTTTTATATAATATTGACTCTGGCTGTTTACCACCGAAGTTTCTGTGGAAACAGACCCCCCCAATCAAAGTATAATAAAACTGCCCCACACACAATGCTGAAAAGTTTGGAAGAAGAACTGTTGTTACCTGAAATTCCTTTCAAGTTAGCTTTGAGTGGATCAAAAAGATCAGTGACTCCCCAAGAATTTAAAATGCTTTTTAAGTTGAATTGGTTTTTGATCCTAAATCTGAAAAACAAAAAACAAACTATCAACTTCCACTTAAAATTCTCACTCTACATTTTTTCATAAACACCACATGAAGTTCAAAGTCCATAACTTGGAAGTTAGGGTTCACCAGACTCATTTCCAGCTTTAACTTCGATTATGACTTCCCTGAAACCCTGCCCACTGAGTAGTATGACCACCTGCTTTTTCCCACCTCTGCATCTTTGCTCACGCTGCTCATTGCTGTCTCCCCGATTTCCCTTGATTGCCATTTAGTGATTATCCATTCCTCAGTTGTTACCCTCTCCTCTTCCCTCCAGCTGGGCTGTGACCTTTGGATCTTAAAGACCCACTAACACTTTGTTCTACTCTTATGATGTATAGAACATTCTGCTTCCTATTGCCGTTATTTATGATATTGTAAAATGCCTGTGAGGAGAGGCTATCCTAGTTCATTTTTATTTCTTAATAATAAATAATATTTAATGAGTGCTTACATTGTGGTAGGCATTGTGATAAGCGATTTATGTGGAGTATCTCATTTCATCTTCATGTAACTATGTAATTGTTATCTTCCTTTTACAGGTGGGAAAATTGAGGCTTAAAGAGTTTAAGAACCTTGCCCATGGTGGACCTCAATTCAAATCAAGGCTGTGTGACTGCAGAGCCCAGCTCTGATCGTCTACGCTTTGCTACGTCCCAACTCGTGTGGCATGTCACACAGTAGGTGAAGAAAAGAAGTTGCTGACTAATTGACAATAGTCTCATTTAATATGTTCATATTGGATAAGACCTATTTTCCTGTTTGCCATGTGTGATGTGTGTCTTTGAGGCACAGCAGGGAAGGAATGCCACTGAAAGCCTTGGTTTTCCTTGTAAGCCCTTGTGAGCAGGCAGTATCAGCACACCAACTTTGTAGTATTTCCCCAAGGGCAAGGCATTTAAAAATTTACTGTTGAAGGATCCTTTAAAAGGGCAGCTGATATTATTTTTCTCTGAAAATAAAAAAGTTTGAAATGGAATTTAGATGGTCTTTCTCTATAAACCATGCAGAACTTGCAGGAGACTGAAAATCCTGAACAAGACGATTTAATATCAAAGGTCTTCATTGCTACACAAGACAAGGTGACCAACATTTTAAACAAAAATATCAGACTTTCTCATAAAAGTGTATTTTGGATCTTCAGAATAGTTTCCAAAAAAGGTGTACACGTTCTCCAAATATGTTAACATTTCTCAAAAAAATTTTTGATTATCTCTTTGAAAATTTGAAGTACTGAAAGCACATTCTTTTTGGAAACTCTAAATGCTGAAGCATAGTTATTAAGAGTATGAACTTGGGAGCCCAGGGCCTGCATTTGAATCCTGGCTCTTACTAGCTGAGGAACTAGTTACTTTGCCACTGAGGCAAGTTACTTTACCACTCTGCCTCAGTGTTCTCATTTGTGAAATGAGCATAATAGTGGTGCTCGTTCATAGGGTGTGAAGAGGAAAGGAAATGACCCTTGTAAAGTGATCAGAACAAGGCCCTGCACAGCCCATGCACTAATGGTTACTATTACAGTTTTATTGTTGCTTCTTAAAGATATTGAGAAAGAGTTAAGGGCCATTCAAAACCAAGTATGGTGATTATATCATTTTTACTAAACTAAAAACAGCAGTACAAGCGAGGTATGACAATAAAAGATTAGAGTGATTTTCTTGTATGGTTATGAAGGCAGACCCAGAAGAAATGCTACAAAAATAGCATGAGTGAAAAAAAAAAAAACAAAAAACCTTTACCAGAACCAGACAAGGATATTACAAAAAAAGAAAAGCACAGACCAGTATTCCTTATGAATATAGATGCAAAATCCTCAACAAAATACTAGCAAATTGAATCCAGCAAATATGTCTCATCACCAGGTGAAATTTATCCCAGGAATGCAAGGTGGTTCAACATATGAAAACCAATTAATATAATGTGCCATATTAATAGACAAAGGCCACATGAGCATCTCAATAGATGTAAGAAAAGCATTTGACAAAATTCAACACCCTATCATGATTAAAAACAAACAAACAAACAAACAAACATCAAACACTCATCAAACCTGGGATAGAAGGTAACTTCTTCAATTTGATAAAAGGCATCTACAAAAAACCCATAGCTAACAACATACTTAATGTTGAAAGACTGGAAGCTCTCCCCCTAAGATCAGGAACGAGACAAGGATATCCACTCTGACCACTTCTATTTCACACTTCACTGGAGGGTGGGCAGGATGATTACATAAGAAAAAGAAATAGAAGACATCCAGATTAGAAAGGAAGAAGTAAATCTATTTCTATTCACAGATGACCAAATGACTTAGTCTTATATATAGAAAATCCTAAAGAATCCACAAATAACCTATTAGAGCTAATATTTGAGTTCCTCAAAGTGGCAGGATACAAGATTAAGATACCAAAATCAGTTGTGACTTTATACACTTGCAATGAAAGATCTGAAAATGAAATTGAGAAAACAATTTCATTTACAGTAGCATCAAAGAATAAAATACTTAGAAGTAAATTTAACAAAAGAAGTGCAAGACTTGTACACCAAAAGTACAAAATATTGTTGAAAGAAACAAATACAGACCTAAACGAAAGGTGAAACATCCCAAGTTCATGGCTTGAAACACTTTATATTGCTAGGAAGCAATATTCCTCAAGTTGATCTACAGTTTCAACACAATCTCTATCCAAATCCCACCTGAATTTTGGCAGAAATGGATAAGCTGATCTTAAAATTCTTATGGAAATTCAAGGGGCCCAGCATAGCTGAACAATCTTGAAAAAAAAGAACTGAGTTGAAGGACTCACATTTCCTGATTTCCAAACTTACTGCACAGCTACAGTAACCAAGACTGTGTGGTACTGCTACAAGTATAGACATTTATGCCTATAGCATATAATTGAAAGTCCAGGAATAAACTCATACATTTATGTGCAATTGATTTTGACAAGGATGCCAGAAAATTCCATGGGGGAGGGAACAGTCTTTATAACAAATGGTGCTGGGACAGATAAATTTCCACATGCAAAAGAATGAAGTTGGGGGCCGGCCCGTGGCTCACTCGGGAGAGTGCGGTGCTGATAACACCAAGGCCCCGGGTTCGGATCCCACATAGGGATGGCTGGTTCACTCACTGGCTGAGCGTGGTGCTGACAACACCAAGTCAAGGGTTAAGATCCCCTTACCGGTCATCTTTTAAAAAAAAAAAAAAAAAAAATGAAGTTGGGCCTCTACCTCATACCATATATGATAATTAATCAAAATGGATCAAAGACCTAAACATAAGAGCTAAACCTATAAAATTATTAGAAAAAAATAGATGTAAATCTTTGTGACCTTGGTTAGGCAATAATTTCTTGGATATGACAGTGAAAGCATAAGAAACAAAAGAAAAAAGAGATTAATCAAACTACATAAAAATTAACAACTTTGGTGCTTCAAAGGACACCATCAAGAAAGCGAAAAGAACCCAGGGTCCTGAGGTATGAAGCTGGGGACCAGACCCTCTTCCCACAACCAGGCACACTGCCAGTGCCATGGGGCCCACCCGGGGTCCTGAGGCATAGAGCCAGGGATCAGACCCCCTCCCACAACCAGGCACACCACCAATGCCATGGGGCCCACCCAGGGTCCTGAGGTATGGAGTCGGAAGCCACCAGCAACTAGGTAAGGAGCATACCAAAAGCATCACTCCATGTGTGTGGCCCACCACAGCCACCACAATAACCACAGCTGCCACATAAGCAACTAGATGCCACAACCACCGTGTAGATGGTTTGCCAGCTACTGGAGTGCATTGACACAAGGAGAGTCACCAGCAGAGACCAAAGAAAAGAAGAGGGTGTCTCTCTCCACAAAGCCCATTCCAGAGAGACAGAAGCAGAATCTGCTCTATGATAATACTGGGGGACCTGAACATACCTCTCAACATTGGACAGATCATCTATGTAACAAATCAACAGAGTAACCATTACTCTTTCAGAAGGAGAGAAGAAATCTAGGGTTATCAGATGTGGGATGGGGGAGGGAGAAGAGGATAGGGAGAGATTGGACAATGAGCATAAAGAATAAGTATGATTTGTAATAATATATATGCAAGTAATATCGAGTTGTTTGTAAGGACAAGTGAGAGAGTTAGCTTTCTTGCTCATGCCATTCTTGCTGTGATTGCCTGCATCGCCACGGGACTCGCCATGGGACTCTAGAGAGTCACCACCAAGACGGCCCTCACCAGATGTGTTCCTGGGACTGTGGACTTCCCAGCCTCTAAAATTGTAAGAAATAAATTTCATTTCTAAATAAATTACCCAGTTTCAAGTGTTCAGTTATATGCAACAGAAAACAGACTAATACAGTGTGTGTAGAAAGAGAGGATATAAAAACAAATGAGGCAAAATGTTTAAAATTAGTGATCTGGGGCCGGCCCGGTGGCGCACTGGAGAGTGCGCCACTTGGGAGCGCGGCGGCGCTCCCGCCGAGGGTTCGGATCCCATGTGGAGACTGGTTCCCGCTCACTGGCTGAGCGCGGTGCGAGCGCAGCACCGAGGGTTGCGATCCCATTGCGGGCGTGACGCTGAGGGTTGTGATCCCGTTACCGGTCAGTAAAAAAGACAAAAAGGAAAAAAAAAAATTAGTGATCTGCAAGTTAAAAATTATTTCAATGTAAAAATGTTAAATACTATACAGAGATCAACTGTCCAAGAACCTACACACCATTAAGAATCTAAACAGTGGATATATTCTAAAATAATAAAGTTTGGTGATCATCCAGACGTAAGAGCTGAAAGAGAAATGAAGGAGCCACAGCCAGACTAGGCAGACAACTGGACAGATTCTGATTATGCTTCCTCTCCTTGGTTTCCTGCAGATGCCACCGCTACAAAATAATCCTAAGGGGGATTCTTGCTACACTCCATCAGTGGATCAACAAGAATTTCCTAGCTAATGAAAATGGTTTTTATTACTGATGGTATTTTTTCCACTCATTTTCAAGGCGTGAAGTCCCTTGGTGTCAATTTGTATTTTGAGTTCAAGAAATAACATGTATTTGTTGTGTTTTAAGGTTTTCACTAACATTTAATTTTATTCATCATAATGTAAGCGAAATTTTTGATCTACCCAAATGACAAAAATACTTAGTATATTTTGCATCTGATTTGAAATATATTTTTTATATTAAATAAAAGGTTTTCTAGGGCTAGCCAGTTAGCTCAGTTGGTTAGGGCATGGTGTTGATAACACCAAGGTCCATGGTTCAATCCCTGTACCAGCCAGCTGCCAAAAAATTAAAAGGTTTCTAAAATACACCTTTTAAACTTACCATACGTTACACTCTACATAGGGCTGAATGAAGATCTTTTTTTTTTTTTTTTTCTTTTTGTCTTTTTTCGTGTCCAGCAACAGATCGCAACCCTCAATGTCGCGCCCGTACCGGACCAGGACCGGCAACGGGATCGCAACCCTCGGTGTTGCGCCCGCACCTCGCTCAGCCAGTGAGCGGCTGGTCTGTATGTGGAATCCAAACCCTCGGCGGGAGCGCCACCGCGCTCCCAAGTGGCGCACTGTAGCAGTGCACCACCAGGCCGGCCCTGAATGAAGATCTTTAGAGGTTCTTAATACTAGGAAGACTGTGATTTTTCCCTCTCCCCACAGTATATAAAACTGTATAAAATGTATAATTAAAAATTTTTAAGGTGAATTAAACTTATGTATATATCAAGAAAAAAAAAAGAAAGTGAAAAGAGAACCCACAGAATGGCAGAAAATATTTACAAATCATATATCTGATAAGGGACTAGTATCCGGAATAAAGAACTATCACAACTCAACAAAAAAAAGACAATCAATTTAAAAATGGACAAAGGATCTGAATAGATATTTCTCAAAAAAGATGTATAAATGACCAACAACCACATGAAAAGATGCTGTACCTCATTAGTCACTAGGGAAATGCAAATGAAAGTCACAATGAGATGCCACTTCACACTAAGATGGCTGTAATCAAAAAGATGGGCAGTAGCAAGTGTTGACGAGGATGGGGAGAAATTGAAACCCAAACACATTGATGGTGGGAAGGTAAAATGGTGCAGTCACTTGGAGAACAGACTGGCAGTTCCTCAAAATGTAGAGTTACCGCATGATTCAGTAATTCTATTCCTAGATAATTAAAAATACATACCCACACAAAAATGTGTACATGAATGTTTGTGGTAGCCAAAAAGAGGAAACGAGCCAAAAAGTGTCTTGGCATCTAAATATCTATAAATTAATGAACAACTAAACCAAATGCAGTATCTCCAAACAATGGAATATTATTCAGCCATAAAAAGTAATGAAGTACTGCTTCATGCTACAAGGATGAACTTTGAAAACATTATGCTAAGTGAAAGAAGCCAGAACAAAAGGCCACATATTTTGTGATTTCATTTACATGAAGTATGCAGAATAGGCAAATCCATAGAGAGAGAAAGCAGATTAGTGGCTGCCAGGGGCTGGAGGAGGGGAAAAGGGAGTGACTGCTAATGGTATGGGGTTTCTTTTTCTTTCCCAGTAATGCTTGCACAACTTTGTGAATATACTAAAAACCTCTGAATTGTGATATGTGAATTATATCTCAATTAAAAAAAAAAGAAATCACCCTTAGAAAAGCATAAACCACACATGATGATGATCAGCAGCTCCTTGCAGGAAGGGCAAAACTCATTTGGAATATATGAGATCTGATGGATTTTAAAAAGACATGTATCATGTCCAATATCAGATAAAAAAGCTCATGCTCAGCTTTCTACTATGTTGACCTAATAACCAAGTTTTTAATTCTTTAAACACATTTTTGACATTATTAGTCTTTTTTGTGAGGCATTACATGATTATGAATATAAATGACAAACATTCATTCTCAGTTTTCTTGATAATTCTTTCAGTTTGCTAAACATCCCTAATGAAAAGTAACAGTCCCTATGCATTTTATTTCTTTGTAAATAAAGGTTACTTGGGAAGCCAGACATCATAATTCATCCAGAATTTACTAATGCACTGCTTGGTGACATTTAGCTGTCAAACATACCTTGTTATCACACAATTTTTGTATTGCTACCCAGAGTGTGTAAGTATTTTTCCTCTCATTAAATGAAAAATGCATGCTGACCATAGAGCAGGTCACACTAAATGATGAATGAATGATTTGAGGGAACTGGAATTCTGGGGCAAATTCTTGCCCAAAAGCCGACTTTGTGTCTACCTTGGTCCAAAGTTTTTACCTAACTCTAGACCTAAAACAGTTTTTACTTCCTTTTCTGTTTATTCCCTAAAAGATTTAAAAGTAGATTTTTTTTTTTTAGCTTGGTTAATTTTGCTTGTGAGATAGCCTCATCTTTCTAAAAACTTCTATCCTTCCTGGACAGTAAGCTTGATAGTCTTGGAGAGATTTTTTTGAAAATTTATCCAGATGAGGTCAAGAATTAACTAACAGTCGTGCTACTGTGATCCCTGCCTTTCCCTTCTTCCCTCTGCCCTGCAGTGCTTTTCAGGGTCATTGCTTGAAGGTTTGAGATTTCTAAAGGCGGAATCAGGGCAATGGAGAGTTCTCAGTGGACCTGGGCATTTCCTTGGGGTTTCTTCCTTATATCAGCTGCTCCAGGACGAAGACAGCCATCTGTCTCCCAAATCCAAAAACATTGCAGTAAATTCCTGCACCAGCCTGCATTTTCTACTTTTGACATCGAAAGCTACTCTTCCTTCCTTCTCTGAGCTTCTCTCAAATAGAGAGATCTGTTGAAATATGCAGTCTTCACACTTTGATTTGGGGGTCCAAATATTTGGTTTTGAGAGATAGACTTTATTTTAGAGTTAAGTTCACCTTCTCCTCTGTGCTATGCCAGATCCCACTTTAGACCCATGGCCTTTAATTCTATAGGTCTTTTTTTGTATGTTTTTCTTTCAGTGCGTAGACTTATTTTTAACTCCTTGATGGAGTGCTGCCAAGGCCTTTTGCCTTTGGCCCGCTGAGACCCTGGCAGTGGAGGCAAGTGGGTAAGTGGGCAGGAGCACAAAGAATTCATGTGCTGAGATGAGCCCCTGGACAGCATTCCTTTCTTAGTGCTGGTCTACAAATTGATTATAAGTTACTCTGATTTCTTTTTCTTTTTTTTTTTTTTTGTCTTTTTTCGTGTCCGGCAACGGACCGCAACCCTCAGTGTCGCGCCCGTACCGGACCGGAACCGGCAACAGGATCGCAACCCTCGGTGCTGCGCCCGCCCCTCGCTCAGCCAGTGAGTGGGAACCGGTCTGTATGTGGGATCCGAACCCTCAGCAGGAGCGCCACCGTGCTTCCCAAGTGGCGCACTGTAGCAGTGTGCCACCGGGCCGGCCCAAGTTACTCTGATTTCAAATGTACCAGAGAAGCTCATTTCTTAAAGAAGTCCTAAGAGGAATCCTTTTGTAAAATAATGAGTTTTGCTAATAGATTTTACTTTAGAAAAGCAAAATCCAGAGCCATTGTTTAACTTTTGGGAAATTTGTGTTTGTACCTATTGGGTTTTCTTAAAGGAGGGTTCACCTCTATTTAGAAAGAGTGAGAACTTCTGCACAGAGACTTAAAGTCTCAAATTTTTATGTCTTAATTTGGCTTCTGATTAGAATTATATCTGTATTTGCTCAATTATATAAGCCATCTTGTCTCTTTGGTTGTATATTCTTATGATGTGATGAGATTTGGGGCACATTCCTACAAGGGAACCACACTTCTTCCTTCCCTGCCCCGAGAACTGGTTGTGGCATGAAGCCAGAGCTCCTGTCTGGCCCTGGTCTTGGGAAGACCCCAGGAAATTAGTTCATTTCCATTTGTGCCATGTGTTAGTCAGCAGTGCCTCGAAATGGACTCAAGCTCTAAATAATGTCTCCTTGGTCTAACCTCTAGGGGTACATTAGACACATCAGCCCAGTGACTAAGGACAGACTCTAAAATCAGACCACCTGGCTCCAAGTCCAGGCCCTGCCGACTGCCAACTGCAAAGCACCCTGTAAGGGGAGCAGCTGCTTACCTGGGGAGAAACACATCCATCCTTGCTCTCCGCAGGCTGGTGGTCCAGAGGTGGATGATACTGGCTGTGAGGTGTAGCTCAATGTGGCTCAGCGGGGTGTCTTTGTCACGAGGCAGCACCAGGAACAAACTTGCTGCACTTCCCAGGTAAGGCAGCTCCAGCACCCTCACCTGATGTCCTGCAGCATCCTGGAATTGGCCTGGGGGTTCAACAAATCAGAGGTTAGCTCTGTCCCAGGAGCCAGGGGAAGCCAACAGTGCTAGACCCAGGGAGGAGGCTGGCTTATAGAACTGCAAATAATAAAACCTCAGGAAGCAGCTTGAGGCCAAAGACTGATGAGTGATATGGTCACCTTTTCTGATCCTAAGACCTAGCATCTCTAAGATACCCTCACAGGGCCCAATAGGAGGATCTGTAGTGGCTAGGCATGTGGGGATGATGGCATATGGGAGAGCCACACAGCCTGTCCTGAAAGGGCAGCCAATCCCATCCTGGCCTATGGTGGCCACATGGGGTCCAAAGCCTTTTATGCCAGATCTTTCTATCTTTCAATAAAACCTCCACATCCAGATTTTGTATGAGATTTCCCAACTTTCAAAACACTACACAGGCCTAACAAAACATGAATCCAGGCTGGATTTGACCTGGGGACTGATCATTTGTCACTTGCCTGTCTCAAGATGGGCAGCTGGCAGCTTGTGGGCGATGGCAATGGCTGGCCAAGGACAAGCCTAGCTCGTCGGGCACAGTATGACTTCAGAAGAGTGATGGGACAGGTGGTGGTGGCGACAGACACAGAAGGCCAGAGACAGGGAGAGTTACTGGTGAAGGCACAGGCGGCAGGGCCCAGGGACAGGGAAAGGAGGACAAGTAATGTAGGCCATCCAGCCGAGCAGGGGAGACCCGGCAGTGTGTGGAAGCCCCAGCCCTGGAGGACGTCACCCAGATCCCTCTCCTGGGAGGATGGAGAGACTGGGCCCTGGTGCAGGGAACACCAGAGCTGGCCAGCCACTAAGGCAGAAGCTCAGGCTCAGTGGGGAAAGATGCGGACAGAGTTCCTACTACTTATTTTACCTATTCAGTACATATTTATTCAGCACCCATGCACAGTGCACTGCAACACGGAGTCTGCCTGCCCTCACGTAGCCAACAGTTCAATTAACCAGGATGCTCGCGAAAACAACCATCAAATGGTAGGAATGAGAACCATAACAAATCATCGATGAGTATTTACTTACCCAATAGACATTCTCTGGTCTCATCTTTCTTGACCTCAACGAATCATTATTGGTTGAATAAACAAATGAATACATTTACCAAGAACTCACTATGTGCCCTGCAAGGAATCAAAGCAAGACTAGCAAGCTTTCTAAATGCCGAAGTCCCTAAATTGCTGAATGAAGTCTCATTGTCTTTTCCCTGAGTGAGAATATAATTAGCCCCACAAGCTGTGGGGGCTGAGCCCTCAGGAGGGCTGAGAGGAGGCATGTGGGAGCGGGAGGGGGGCCTTCTTTCCTTGCGGTGCCAGGCCCCACTGCTGTCCACAGCACACACCAGTCTGCAGGCATGGGGGCTGCCAGGCACTCCGTGGTACTGGGCACCTCTCACTCCGCACCCCCATCCTGACGAGGATGACTGGCCATCAAGCAGGGTGGGCACACAGAATGATGGCATTTCAGGACCCGTGGGACTTTCAGTCTGGGGATGTTCTTGAAGAGCCTTTTTGGCTCAATCTTTGTCCTTGCCCAGCACCAAACAGTGAAGTGTGTTTTTATGGGGGTGCCTGTTAGGGGAGGTGGTTTGGTTCACACATTTTTGGTTTCACATTAACTCTCTCATTTACTAAGTGCAGAGGAAAATGTCAAGCATGAAACTCAGTTTCTCTTCCGCTCTGTGTCCTCACTGTCCTGCAGGAGCCGTTATTCAAAGTCCCCTCTCTAAGTCTCCTGGCACCCTGGTCTTTCCTCCTGTCACATGTGCGGTCTAGTAGACAGAGCCATTTCAAAGCACATCCTGGTGCTTTAGGGCAGGGACCTGGCCCCTCTCTCCCGCCCCTGTGCCCTGTTCTTCCTCTCACTTTAGACAGCGCAGTGGGAAGGGGCTCACCGTGGTTGACCTCGGCTGTTTGGTACATCATGGGGACCTGGAGGACGAGGCCCTGGGCACAGGTGAAGGGCAGGAGCTGTGTGTCTGTGGAGGAGAATCTCTTCTGCCAAGTGCTTTGGAAGGACATGGCACTCACGAGAACGAGCTGAGGAAACGCTGCACTGACCTGCTCCCACAGTGAGCCACCTGGACCCTCACCTGCAAGTGGGAGAGCAACAGGGGGTGGAGGGGACATTAAACATACAGCATTTTGGACTGAACACAATGTGTGTGGACAAGGAGTACAGAGTTAAAATGCAAAAATTAAGATCTTTTTTGGTAGGTGGTTTTTCTCTCTTTTTCTTGAATGTTTCACAGTGTCTTCTCAATTGACTTAAACATGCTTAATTCTCTGTCTCAGCTTTTTGTGCTGCCAGCAGCCAATGGCCACAGTAGCTGCTCTCAGCTCCCTGCTCTTGGGGTGGGGGGAGGGGATGGAAAGTGAGAATCAGAAATCGGACTGGGTCCCTGCAACCTGCCACCTGCCACCTACACACCTGATCAGTGGGGTGGTGAGGCACCTCTGAAGTTGCGTTTGTAGCCTATTGGTTAATATCTGTTAATTGCAGAATCCATACATGTTTATAACCAGCTGTTGCTGAAGATCATGCTTTTATTCTTTTCTGAACAGGTTGGGATGTTTCTCCTGGTTCTGTCTGGGGCCATTTCCCAGGCATCATTAGGCATTCCCTCCCCAGGCAAACCCCTGCAGGAACTGCATGCTGCACAGTGTCACCTCTGAGACTCCCCGTTACCCCTGCTGAGCCACATCTGTTGCTGAGCCTTTGCTTAGACATCAATCTGAAGGACTTAGTGTTTGGAGGGCCGTGGTTAAAATTTTATACATTACCAAAAAAAGGAGCAAAAGAACACCTCCAAAGGGACAATTTTTGTCCCAGCCCTTTGTTTAATAAGCACATACTCTGCACTGGCTCTGTTCTAACAGACACCTCTCGGCAGTTCTATTGCTGTTCCCATCTCACAGTTGAAGGAACCAAGGCACAGAGAAGTTGGCCAAGGTCACACACTTGTGAGGCACGAAGCCACCGTCTACCCAATGACCCAGGATAGAAGCCCTGGACTTGAGCCCAAGCAGCCCGGCCCCAGACTCTGTGCTCTGAATGGCCACATCAACTGCCCCTTGTGCTTGGAGGACAGTCAGCCTAGGAGCTGAGAGCAGCTACAGTGCCTGGCAGTGTAGGAGCCGAGACAGGAAATTGCACATTTTTAAAGTCAATTATAAAGACATTGTGAAATGTGTGTATGTGTTTGTGCGTGGGGGGGCGGGGCACCTTATCAAAAATGATCTTAATTTTTGCATTTCAACTTGGCACTTATTGTCCACACACATACTGTTTTCAGTTCAACCATAGCATACATGTCACTTTCTATCCTGCTTTTCAAACAACATTGGATCTTAAATGTCCTTCATATTTCAGTGTAACCTTTGCAGTTATCAAGGACCCTGGAGCCAGACCACCTGGGTTAGAATCGTGGCTTCCTGGGCCCCAGGCAGGAGGTGCAACTATCTGTGCCTCAGTTTCTCCATTTGTAAAACAGGGACAGTATTAGCACCTACCTCCTAGGATTATTGTGATGGCAAACTGAGATAGTAAACTTAGAACAGTGCTAAATAAATGAACACAGTAAATGTTAATGATTTTCATCATTTACTAATAATTATAACTGCTTAATATGCAGGTGCCATACTTAGTTGAATCATTCCTAATTGCTGGATAGCTATGTTGTTTGTATGTCTTTTTCTTTAGTAAAACTGGGATGAACATCTTATTGCATATAACTTTTTCTTCTCTTGGATTATTTCCTTAACATAAATTCCTAAGAAACCATTTTTTCGGATCCTGCTGCATTTTGTTATCACAGGGGGTTAAATGTAGATGACAGCTGAGCCCAGCAGGAACTGTCCCACAGTTACATGGGACAAAGCCTGCAGGGTCTGCCCAGAGGTGGGAGGCTCTGAGCACCCTTCTGTGTGTTTGTGCACTTGTATGTTTGTGTGTGTATGTGTATATTTGTGTGAGAGAAGGCTAGGGTGGGACGAGGGGCAGAAGGGAGCCAAAGGTCAGCTTTAGTTGCTTCACAGAGCATGCCACTCAAGGGAAGGATCTCCCAAGAGGACAAACTTCTGTGACAATTGAGGACAGCCTGAGCGCCCGTCACCATGGCTTCTGACAGTGCTGGGTAATGCTCTGTCTTTGCAGCCTCTGACCTCAGGCTCGCCAAGGTGGATGGTTTTATTTTACCTGCGGTCTGTCTGGGGCCACCTTCACTGGCCTGGTCGGTGGTGCCATTGGGCTCACCAAGCTCACTGAGGTTGGCGCTCATGGGGGCTGGCTCCAGGCTGCTGTTGGCCCACCAGTAGACCCGCTCCACAAAGCAGGGGGACAGCTGCATTCCCGCTTGCACAAAAAGAGTGCAGGCCAGCTCCATCTCGGTGCCTTGGCTGGAGGTCGGCAGTGTGGCGTAAGCGGAGTGCAAGTAATCTCTTACTCTTTGGTCTGTGAAAAAGGAGTCGGGAGAAGTGGACAATGGTGAGCATGAGAGAGGAGCTGGAGCAACCTCCGTCTACACATGACATTGTAATGGGGCCCAGTAACTCCACTGCAGTTTTGGAAGCTTCATCCACCATACACATTCAGTTTGGAAAAGTCATCACTAACTGCGGGATTAAAAGCTGGGAAGAAACCATGCTAGATCTGAAAGAAATCAGGCCAAGATCAAGTCAAAGAGAAAAACAATACCAACACCCTGCAGCTGCATAGAGGCTATTCTTCCTTAACTTCTGATTCAGGAATGTTGACGAGGGCTAGAGTAGACACAAGAGGTGGTAAACGGCAGGTCTGGTGCGTGGTAGTGGGGTTTCAAACACTCGCAAGTCAAGAAATTTATGTGTAACGTCACAAGCAACAATGACAGGCAATGGACAGGATACTGCGTTAACATATCTTGTAGGGGACTTAAATCCATTCCCACCACTGCATGTTACAAACCTGAGTGACATCTGGATACAGGCTTTTTTAGAACTATGCTTTCAGTTTGCGAAATACAGAGGAAAGCTAAGAATTCCTCCCATCCCCCATCTTCCTAAGACCCAGCAGAGAGTTCACATTAATGTCAAGGAGAAGCTGCAAGAATGTTGGAATAACAAGCATTTGAGAGAGTTGATAGCTTCCACCTTCTTGGACAGCAGCTGGACTTCTATTTATTTACTATTTACACAGGAGATTGCTTGCTTCTCTCCATAACCAATAACGAATTTCATTTTTGCACTATTATTCACAAGCTGCCACTTCTGTTCTTCCCCAGGCATCCCATAGCTGCAAGGTGGCCTCCTGTCTATCAGCAAGTATGGACACTTTTGAGTACCCCAACCTTCCCACTCCTCACATGTGCACGCTGGGCATTTCCAGAAGCAAAGCCTCCTTGCTGTGCAAGCAGCCTCTGAAACTGGGCCTTCCCCTTCTCTTGCACACCTCTCCTCCCCTCTTAGGCATAGCCCTGCAGCTATCCACAGACACTCCCTACAAGGCACATGCTGGGTGCCTCTTCCTGCACCACCCTGCCCCAGTTGGCTCTCCCAGGGCGTCCATTGGGATGAATCACTCACTTGGCTTAGGGCCTATCAGTCTGACACCGTCATGCTGCAGAGACCAAGCCAGGAGGTAGCAGCAGACCCCCAAGGGGACTAGCTAACACCTGCTCGGGGGGCACGGGCACCCAGAATCCACCTTCCCAGGGCCCCCAACCACCAGACTGCAGACCACCATAGCCGGCAGATGTCACTCATCCACAAAACACTACCAAATGTGCTTCTTATAATCCACAACTGTAAAAACCTGACTCTGAATATAGATCTCATGAATTACAGCTTAATTCGAGTGCTTGCATTTTATTGTAGTGAGGACATAAATAAAAAACATACTTATAATCAGATTTTTCTCTATTGAGGAAGGTCTTAGGTATTTCTAGGATCACATCCCTGTGGAATGTGGACAGTCGGCCCAGGAGAACTGAGACATTTCCCTGGTCCAGAGTGTAGTGTGACCTAAGGAATGGTCACAGAGCTCTCTCCTCTCCGTCCTCCCACCCTCTCTGGGTCAAGGGGCCAGCGTTCTTTTAGCCAGGAACATTAAAATAGTAGAGTAAATTGGCTTAAAGTAAATTTTTGTGTGAAATCTTTTCTCCACTGGAGACTGGTTTATCTGTGTCCATTTGCACACAGGAAGAGCTTTTCTAGACCTGCCAGAATAGGCATTGTCAGAGTAAGAACTATTGAAAGCCAGCTATGTTCACAGACATTGTGCGAAACACTCCACATTCCTGATCATATTGAATCCTTTCAACAACCCTGTGAATTAGATGCTGTTATCATCCCCACTTAACAGATGAGGACGCTGAGGTTCGGACAAGTTCATGAACTCGCTCAGTGCCACCCCGTTGTGGGTGGTGGTGCTTCTCTGTCCTGCTGCCCACAGGGTAAGGAATGGGTGGGCGGGGGGACTCTGCTCAGGGTAGCTGGGTTCTTTTCGGAATGAACGTGGGGCATCGGAGCTCCTAGCCTCCTATTTGGCTATGTTTGCTGTTTTCCTAGATCTTGTCTGTGAAGGGGCAAGTGTGAATGATGTGAGCATGAGGACACACTTCTCCTGCATAGCCCCTGGAAGAGAATCCTTCACTGCTGGCTTCATCTCTCCCCTCCTCCCACCTCTGAAATAGAAAGCGCCTTTCCTGCTGGGTCAGGTGCTCATACCCAGGTGGCTTATCAGAAAGACCAGCATGGAGGGTACCTGCCTTTTAAATAAATCTGGTGAACTAATCTTCTTGAATATGACACTGAATCTGGCGAGTCTCAATTTCATAAGGTTAATGTACATAAAATTCTCAAACTACAAGGACCACCTTTTTGATGCTGACATTTTAATTGCCAGAGAATTAAAAGAGGGTTGCTTTAGCGTGATCTCCAAAGGGTTTGGTTGGGCTGAGAGGGTGATGAGGATACCTCTGGTGAGAAATAAAGGCAAGATCCTTACATGTTTATGCAACTGCTCAATGGCTTAGAGCAGGGCTCAGGAACTGTGGGAAGGACACGGATTCGGAGTTAGAAAATCTAGAAATTGAATCCTGGCTCTGCCACTTACCTAGCGGGTGAGCTGAGTTTCGCCAAGTCATTAACCTTTTGTCTCTTTCGTAAATGAAGATATTAATAGAGGTCTAGCGATTGTAGGTGATTTATATGAGGATCATATGACAGAATGACTCTAAGAATAAAGTTCATACACACCATCAAGCAGAACTCTTTCCCAGGGGCCAGGCTACCTTACCTCTGAGGCCTCTATTCCTTCCACTGTTCTTGTGCCTAACAGAAGGCTGTAAAGTGCTCTTTATTAATTTACCTGGAAGAACAGTGAAACTTCCTAAAAATTGGAACATTGAGAAATGGTGTGTTTCATGGAGTGAAAACAAACGTACTCCTTGGGGATATCTCTGGTGTCTGTTCTGAATCTCACATTGTGCTTATATGAACAGCAGGTCAGAACCCTGGCAAAGCTCCTGATTGTCACATATTGTCTGGATACACAGTGACAAGAAGACAATGTGTGGAACTGTAAGCTCAGGTGGATCTTTCTGTTGATTAAACAGGAACAATGCCCCAAGACCCTGGGCATGCTTTGCTGCTGCTTTACACCTGTTTTATTGGTCTGCATTGACTTTTAAAAGAAAGACTGGGCTGGCAGGTGCCTGGTGGGTTGTTTTGAGCAGCATGCATGTGATTCTCTGGGCTATACTGGGGCAAACCAAAGTGCAGGGATGTGCTATTAACCAGAATTCTGTAAACGGCACATTCCTGCGTGTAATAATTAACCGTGGCTCCATAAGACCAGGAAGCAGTTTATGATTAAGATTATTGTTCCACAGAGTTTGACTATTAAGCATTCTGGACATTTGGTGATTCTCTGATGGGCTCTATGGAAAGTCAGATAATCATCATATTTGGTTAACCAGGTACCATGGCTGTAGCTGACAGCTGAGAACTGACTGTGGTCAGCTTCCTTTCCCGCAGGACAGTGACACTTTGCTCACGTTTCCCCAATCCTGACTCCCATGGGACTCTGTTTTAAGGCTGCAATGACTGCCCCCTTTAAAAAAATTTTTCTGTTTATTCTTCATACCCAGCTCGGATGTCATGTCTCCTGGGGAGCCTTCTGATCCTCCAGTGGAATAAATCATTCCCTCCCCGTACTAACTTATTTCAAATAAATGCACGTACAGCACCGTGTTAGAGTGTGTTTCTAGGTGCATGGTTCCCATGGGGCTGACCTGCCTGCATTCAGGGTTTTCCTTGCATACCTGGATGCTGAGTCCCAGATGCGCAGCACCGGCAGCAGGATCCTGGTCTTCTATGAGTGGTATATAAAATATTGAGAATACCTATGTACATTAAATGTGCAGCAGGTGCTCAGTAGTACCTGGCAAATCGCATTGCACTGGGCCTCGTGTGGTTGAAGAATACCTCCATGGATATGTGCACTTAGGTAATATACTTGCTGAGAAAAATGAAGTCCAGCAATCTTTTTTTTTTTGTCCTTTTTGACACCGGCCGCACAGCGCTCAGCCAGTGAGCGCACTGGCCATCCCTATATAGGATCCGAACCCGCCAGCGCCATACTCTCCCGAGTGTGCCACAGGCTTGACCCCAGCAATCTATCTTTGACCTCAGTTATCCCCAGAGAGAAAATATGTTTGTCTGTTGGCCAGCAGGGTCACAAGAATTGTTTGGCAGGGGTGTGGGTGGAGAGGGACGGGAGACTCAGCTGGTGCCCTGTGGCCTGACGTCGTGAGTGCTAACCTTTACTTGCCAAGTCAAGATTCCACCTCAAAGGACGCTCTTGCCAGACTACGCTGGTATTAGTTCTTGTGTTTTCTGACAAATATTAATTTATGCAAGGATAACTCCCATCCTTTCTTTTTTTTTAAATCAACATCTTATTCTGAGATAGAGAAGGAAAAACGACATGCATGTGTGACTGTCTTAGCATGGAGTTGGTAGGCTGGTACTGAGGCCAGGCATTGAGCTGTGGCCCAGGCTATAGGCCAGGCAAAGCTGACCTGGCCTTCAGGAGACTCTCACGACTGCTGGCAGAGCCAATCTAAAATATGTAACCCACAGAATGGTGGCAGATCTGGCACTAGAAGTCACAGATTTATAAAAACAGGTTGGTCAAAAGCACAGGCCCTGTAGCCAGACGGCCTGGGCTTGAGTCCCAGCTCTGGCTGTGTGACCTTGAGTAAGTTGCTTCAACTCTCTGTATCTGCTTGTTCATCTCTAAAATAGGGATGACAATAAAATGACCAACCTCACCAGGGTTGTTGTGACAACTAGTTCATTTCGTGTTTGTAAGGTGCTTTAAACACTGCCTGGCATCTACTAAGCACTATAAAATGGTGTGTGAAATGACACTGAAAAATTGCCATGGAACCTGAAGTTAGAAGGGAACCTTCAAAATCCAGGATACCCCCACTGCAGTCTGAACGCCCTTTGTTACACTCCTGCCCAGTGGTCATCCTCTAACACCACTGGGAGCTCAGCTCCCCACCTCCTGAGGTAACCTGAGCAGGGAAGGGAGTAGGGGTGGGCCTGGGAGAGACAGTGAGCCTGAGCGTGAGGGTGAGTGTGACAGTGACAGTGAGCAGGACAGCGAGCATGCATGGACAGGCCTCTTACCGTGGACGCTGTACCCCAGGGCATCTGTCAGCTGTCGCCCAGTGTTCCCTTGGGCTCCAAACTGCAGGATCTCTAGTGGGAGGGCCACACCGGCAGGAGAGATGACAAAGTTTGTCCCGTTTCCACCTGCTGCCACGCTCTGGTAGAGGCGAAGTGCAAACTCTGTCTTCAGCAGCGTCAGGCCTTCGAGGACATGGCCATCTCCTTGGGTGAAGCAGGAGTGAAGGAGGAAGAGGGTGGCCAGGACAGGTAGCATGGAGGCTGGCGGGCTCCTGCAATTCAGAGGGAGAGATGCAGGGGAGGCCAGATGCTGGAGATGAGAGAGGGTCACATTCCAGAGAAGTGGGACAGCAGCTCTGATTTCAGGGGCTGGGACTGGCAGAGGGAGAAGTTCATTTAGCTGCCTTGGTTACCCTCCCTGGTCTCACCTGCTCAGGGCAGCCTGCTATGTCCACCTTAGAAATACTCACTGGGTTTGAACTGTGGGTTGGAAGACCTGCCTTTGTCACTATATGTGTGACCTTAGCAAGGCCCTGATCAGATGTTGGGAATAGAAATACAAACAGTGCACCCTACCCGTTTTTCTTGGTATTTTGCCAGATTATGGCTGTGCTATGTCTATCACAAATAATAATAATATTATTAATAATAATCACCTACCATGACTTTGTACATTCTCAGTTATTTAAACAATGTTACTAGGTAGGTGTTGTTGGATTTCAACTGTAGAGGTAATAGTTGAGGTTTAGAGGCTTCATGACTTGTTTATGTTGGGAAAGAATCCAGGCTGCAACTGAAATCCTGGCCCTCTATGAGTGGCATATAAAATATTGAGAATACATACACACCTTAAAGTATCGATGCATGAGCTAATCATTCTTAGAATATCAGAATTCTTGTCATGTGAATTACTCTCATGAAAAAGAACACTTTCACAGAGAGTAGAATTATACAAAGATAGCTCCTACCATAGAAGTGTACCCTTCCTAGACTGGCCATTATTAAAAAGACCAACAGTAATAAATGCTGACAAGGATGTGAGGAAAGGGGAACACTCTTACACTGTGGGTGGGACTGTAAACTATCACAGCCAGTATGGAAAACAGTATGGAGGTTTCTCAAACAACTACAGATAGAACTGCCATATGATCCAGCAATCCCACTACTGGATATATGTCCAAAGGAATGGAAATCATCATGTTGAAGGGATACCTGCACTCCCACGTTCACTGCAGCTCTGTTTACAATAGCCAAGATATGGAACCAACCTAAGTGTCCATCAACAGGGCCGGCCCGGTGGCGCACTGGATAAGTGCGCCGCTTGGGAAGCGCGGCGGCGCTCCCGCCCGAGGGTTCGGATCCCACATACAGACCGGTTCCCGCTCACTGGCTGAGCGAGTCGCGGGTGCAATCCCGTTGCTGGTCCCCGGTCCGGTCCGGGGGCAACACTGAGGGTTGCGATCCGTTGCCGGACACGGAAAAAGACAAAAGACTAAGTGTCCATCAACAGATGACTGGATAAAGAAAATGTGGTATATATACACAATGGAATAGTACTCAGCCATAAAAAAGAAGGAAATTCTGCCATTTGCAGCAATATGGATGAGTCTGGAGAAAATTATAAGTGAAATAAGCCAGACAAAGAAACAGAAATACCACATGTTCTCACTTATAACTGGCTGCTAGGAAGGAAGGAAGGAAGGGAGGGGATAGAGGTATGGAGGGGGGAGGGAAGGATGGAAGAAGGAATGAATGAACGAAAGAAAGAAAGAAAAGACCAAAACAATATGCTGAGCTTTCAGAAGGAGAGAACCTACCTAGGGATGCTAGAGATGGGGGGGATTTGGGAAGTGATAGGTTGGGCAAAGGGCATAAAGAAATATCATGATTTGAAAGAATGAATATGCTAATAATAAATACAAATTTAAAATAAAAAATAAAAGAAGAAAAAAAGAAATGTACCCTTCCAAGGAAGGAAGAGCATTAGCTAGAAATTAATGTAAGAAAAAAAAGGCAAAATGGAAAGTGTTTCAATGACTGTGCCACACATACAGCCAGCAGCAATTTTTGCTAAGTTGTCTAACTCTGGTATCAGACCAGACAGATGTTGGAGAGGCCCAGTTTAAAGTTGCTTCCCAAAGAAGTTTGCAAACAAGGCCCCTGGACTTAATGGGGCTTATTTTAGATAGAAGCCCAAGATAGGAAAGCATCCTTTTTTTCCCCCAGCCCTTCTTCCCCACAGCCTAGCACAAACGCAGTGAGTGCTTGGATGACCTTGGTACATAGGGATGTGTGTATGCGTGTGTGTGTGTGTGTGTGTGTGTGTGTGTGAGAGAGAGAGAGAGAGAGAGAGAGAGAGAGAGAGAGAGAGAGTTTGGAGATAGTGGGTCCCAGCCCAGGGTCATTTGTGAAAGCTTCAAGGCCCAGTGCTCTTGCATCTCCTATAATCTCCCACAAAAACGCTCTCAGCAATCAGACCTTGATGTCCCAGGCTCCCCAAGACCAAATCCCTGCCATGGTTCACCTTGAATGAGCTACTTACTCGCGGACTGTTGTATCAGACTGTTGGGTTTTCTTGCTCAGTTCTGGTCTTGTGGGTCTCTAGCATTCATGTGCTCCCCTTTTAAAAGAGTGGAGCAGAATCTGCTTTGAATCACAAGACAGCACAGGGAGGAAGCTGGCGATTGCCGTCTCTGCCGGCGATGTCTCTACCACTCGGTCCAAATTCCTGGAGCCTGGAGATCCTGCAGGGAGCCAGGAGAAGCAGCCCAGCCCCAGGCAGCAAAGCCCAGATCGAGAACAGAGCAGGGCCCTGGGGAGGGAGCCAGCCACACCCGTCAAGCCTTCTTAGGCTTGTGACCTGGTTGTACCAGCAAGGGACCCTTCATGAAGCCCTTTGTCACTTTGAGGAATTCCACTGATAACTCTGCGTCTGGACTTTTGCTGGGTACCAGGTACCTAATGCTTCCCCCCCTCCTCCTGTGAGTAAAACAATAAATCAGTCATTGAGCATGACCTGAAACTTCCAGCAAATGGAATTCTGCAAAAGGGAAAGAAAACAGTGCAAGATATGGCACAACCAGTTTGGAGCAGGGTGACTTGCAGTATTTATTGCTAATAAAATCGAATGTCCTCATTTTTATATATGTAGTATAAGCACTATTTCTTGTTCTTAGATATAACAGTTAATAAGTCCAATGACTTAATTTGAGAAAGAGATCATGTTGTCAACGAGTAAATGCATATTTTTGGAAAGTACGAGTAGATTCTGTCAATAGTCAGTCCTTGTGACCAATTCAGAATTACATACATTTCTTTTAAGGTCTTAGGCATTGTATTAAGTTCAAAATAGATGATAGATTATATGTTGTTAAAGATTAAAGAAAAGAAGGAGGCATTTGGAAATAAATGCAATTCTTAGTAATTATCTCTTAGGCACCTGTTAGTGTTAATATTTAAAAATTAATGGACTGTTTTTTACCTGGCAACTACCCCCAACCCTATAATCAGTGGGTAATTCACTTCAGAGCAGAGGTTTTTTTTTTTTTTCTCCTGACACCCAAGCCTGGGATAGTTTATAGGTCTTAGGATAGTTATAGTTCCATAATTGTTTTACATGAAATCTCCCCAAATCTTTAATGTAGATGTAAGTTTATTATTGCATGCCTTGGACTCTAAGCCATAGTATGATAGGTTTAACTTATTCTGTAGTGTGCAGAGAGGGCATATCCATCCATCCAGCCAAAAAGTATCTCTTGATCACCTGCTGGGTTCCTAGGCACTGTGCTAGGTCCTGGAGATATGGTGGTAAACCAGCAACCTGGGCTCAAGCATCAGGGGACTTACAGTCTTGTCCAGTGAGTACATACTTCAGATGTCGGTGCTGATGGTGTTAAGAAAGAGCTGCAGTAACTTTTGAGGGCTGTCTTGCAAGGTTGTGAGCTCCCTGTGGGTGGAATTATTTGATCAAAAGCTGACTTGCTATTTGCCAGTGGTAGGGGTGGAGATATGCTTGTTAAAAAATTTCTCAAATTGGAAAAATGTTGGGCTGTCTGACTTCTATGACCATTCCTTCCTAACTCTATGAATGCACTATTCTAAATTGCTTTTAGAAAACCTTCTTAAGGAAAAATGTTATGGAAACTTAACATACAAGAAGTATTTCCTATATAGGTTAAACATACGAAGTGGAAATGAATGAAAGATGAATTGCAATTTGTTTTTCTTTTGTGTACTCGGCTGTGGACATGGGCAAGTCACCATGTAAGCTGAGATCATCTGCTTGTAAGCAGATATTATGATGTCTGTTTCTACCTTCCCAGGATGAATATGTTAAGAGAGGCTCCGTTCTTGGAGATATTTATTCATAATGTAATAAAAGAGTGAACATTATTAATTATTTACTGAATCTCAGGTACTCTGTTAGATACTTTCCATTCCCAATTGCAATAAATCCTCACAACAATACTCAGAGGAATATATTACCATCTCCATTATACAGATGAAGAAACTAAGGCTGAAGAGTGTAAGATCTTGCCTAAGGTCCTACCAGGTTGACCTGGGGTTTGAACCTAGGGCCACCTTGACTCCCAGGCTCATGTTGTTCATTACAAGATATTGGATTTCTTGAAATCCCTCTTGGCTGTGGGATTTTAAGACATTTGGTGGCCAGCCCATACTCTACTGGCTCATAATGTATGTCCAATCTGCCTGCATTCACCTGGGATGCGATGGTGAATCACCTGTAGACAGATTGCTATGAGACGCAGAACCTCTTTAATTATGATTCTTAATTTTTCATTGACTAATTTCTTCTAGGCATAAACAAATCACTTTCAAACCCAGAGGTCTGTCAAACTAACGTGATGGATAGAAGCATTGCATTTTAATTTAGTTGAAATGTAATTAATACACAAGCAACTCCTTTTGGTTGTATGGGCTACTTGTCTGGGGTTGTACAGAGAGAGAGACCCGTTTGTCTCTGCCCTTGAGGAGTTTGCCATGGAAAGAGAACATGCCGACTGATTAAGATACGGATGCCACCAAAAGAAGTCCAGGAGCACAGCTAGAGTAAGCAGCACAAGGGAGCCCAGCACATGGTGCTGATGTTGGACAAAACCGGTGAGTCCTTCACGGGAAACCATGCAGATGGGCCTCCACCTGTCCTTCCAGGAAAGAGAAAGTGGAGCGTCCACCTCTGGGCTTCCTGCTGTCACGACTGACAGCTGCAACATTGCCCTCAAGTTCTTCACAGGT